CTATTATTGATGGCTACTAACCCACAAAGGTTGTGCGCCCTTCATGAATCACCATTTGAAATATATTGGTTGACTCTAGAAGCTCAAGCAGAAGTCGATGCTGAAACAAACAATAATCGAAGAAACACGGCCAAGTCACTTCCGCTGATGTTACAACGTGCAATGTCGATTACATCAGCCACAGGTGCTGATGTTTCGCTCTTCAAACAAATGAAAGGTTTTCTACGTCGACAAAGTCTTGTCACTAAAGAACTCGCAAGAAAAGAATTTTCGAGAAATATTGATGATGAGAAAAGCATTCCGAAACACTCAAAACGTATTAAAGCTTTACGCTTACGTTTATTTCTTATTCATTTTATTAGAGCATTAATCAAACATGCAATTGACTTTTTCATATTGACAAGAACTTGGTTATTTGTCTTTATTTTCCTTATTTGTGCTATTGAATACCGTCGAATGACGCCAGCTGATCCCGATATAACACTTTTAAAGATTATCTTTGAGATCATTTCTGCTTTTGGTGGAGTTGGTATGTCTCTAGGCTATCCCAATAAAACAACAAGCTTTGCCTCTGTTCTTTCTGCTGGAAGTAAAGTCATACTTATTGCAACTATGCTCATGGGTCGACATCGTGGTTTACTAGCATCAATGAAGGATCAAGAAGTGATTGAATATAGTGCTATAAATATATTGGTTCGTCGACGTGAAGAATATATACTTCAATTTCAAACTTCTAGAATGCGCGAAACAATAGTCGAAAAAATAAACAGTGATCCAATGGTCGTACATTTCTAGAGGAAGTAACAAGTTTGCAAGGAAACGTTTGCAAATAGAAGTCGAAGAACCTTGAAGTCAATCGACGAGTGCCACATCTGTCCGTAAGATTTTTTTTGTACAATAAAATAAACGATATAATACAGTTGACTCTTATATCTGTTTTATTCGAAAATTTCTAGCATAATGAGCTATACGTAGAAATTCATACTTCTTGTTTCATCGGTATGCTATTTTCATTTCAAGCAAAAGGATTCACGCGCGGATACAAATTAGACTCGGTTATCGACTTCGCCATGTTCTTTGAAGTAGGTTTCTTTTACGATATGACTGATGAGCGTCATGTAATGTTTGGTATATCGCATGAAATGAAAGTCATGTTTTCAAGATATTAGATAGATGTTTTTGTCAACAGAAAAGAGAAAACTATTATGTATCATTTTTTTTATACTTGAATTCTGAAAGACTGCACTGCAAACTTATGCTAAAATGATAAAGAAAGGTTCCTAGTGCCTCGGTAAATAATTTGAATAGAACTAGCGAGTTGAAGTTTCTTAATGATTTTTTTTACTTTTTTAGCCTGTTTGAAAGCTTTGAAGGTGCTTGAAAACATATGATTATGTATTAATTAGTAATTCATCAGCTCTTTTCCTCATATTCGTCTCAATTGTTGATTAATTCCTGAGTGATATTACAATTGTTCAATTCGAACGTTTGTATATGATGAGAAGACTTGAGTTTGAGAGGAGAGATAGATGAATTATTGTTTTTCTTTAATGTTTTAAAAATTACTTAAATGTATTTGATGAAAATCGATTTAGAAAATAAATGCTTGCTAATGATAGGAGTATTTATTTTATATCTTCATAAATAGCATAAAAAAAACTAATGAACAAGATTTTCAACAGTGGTGCTAGCGCAATCACTGGAAAAAATATGCGAAACACAATGTAGTTACCATTGATAATCATAGGCAAATTGTTTTATTTAATCCTGCTTGAGACAGTTTATTCATCGTACTTTTATTCAAAATCCTCCATATATGCCATAATATTATAACAAGATGTTATCGATATACGGCCTTTGATCGTTTATTAACAACGTTGACACGGTCTGCTACATGTCTTAATGATAATAATGTCTTTCTATGCTCTGTTTAAAAATGTTGTGAATTCTCAAATATTTATTCATAGAAAAACCATTGTACTAATCTGTTTACAGTAAACATTCGAATTAGTCTCCACAATGTTCAGTATAAAGTTCTATTTTATGAATCCACTTCTGAAATATCTTTTGACATTCGTGAATAAGTACTGAATTGAGATTCTTGTCTATTGCTTCAGACAAACTTGCAACCTCTGAATATGTATCAAGTGTACTTTTCAAGCAACTACATAACTCAAAGCGTGAATGAGCAAGATCAGGAGAGTATAGTGAATGAGTGATAAGTTTACTTTTTTCTTCTTAAAGATAATTAAAGTCAATATCAGGCTCATCTATTATTAAAAAAAAATAAGAGAGATTGTTTTTTCTTCGAATGATTGTCTTCTCACTACTATTGAAGAACTTTCTTCTTTTGTTATTCATGCTTTAGATTGATCTTTTGATTTAACTTTGTAATAATAACTCCAAATTCATCTTCTATGACCATATCAATCTCCAGATACCATTTTCAAATTTTTGTAAATTTTTTAATAAAAATATCAATAAGATTGTTGTCGTTGGTCTTGATTGAGTTCATGAGGTATCCATCTTGATGACATTTTTCGTAAGCCAAGATGTTGCTTGAGATTAGAATCAACACGACCACGTAACACATCTAAGATGGTTGCAATATAATCAATGCTAAGATGTAGATCATCATTCACCATGTCTTTAATAGCCTCAATATTTTTTTTGCGTAATGGCGTTTATTGCATGACTATTTTGAAGATCATTTTTCAACCATCTCTCATCTACTTGAAAATCGATGAATCTAATCAGCAACATTGTTCATAAGCAGTTGTCAATGCATCATGAATTTATGTTGCAGTAAGACCTAACAACAAATGAGTTTTTATATATGAGAGTATACACAATTTAATCATTTGAAAATAGAGGCGAAGAAAAGAATCATTAAAAATTTGCTGCAATAGACACTTGCAAAACTTCATTTTTGTAATTTAATACACAACCGATGTCTCTACTAGATTAGACCAACATCAGCAATAAAAATAATAAGAATGAAATTTCAGACTGTTAATGCATGAACTTTTCGACTACCCTATGTAATTATCGTGTAGGCTTATTTCGAAATTTATTTTATTATATACAAGAATTTTATATTGGATGATTGTTTGTTAAAAGTCGAAGTATATTATTGTCTATATCTAAAGCAGTGCTTCAAGAACATGATACTCTTTTTTAACAGGTTGACCTAAACAAACAAAAATAAAAATAACCTTATTCTTAAATAAATAGATCTTTATAATAATTTATTTGCCTACGTCAATAGCTCGTCATTTTAGTCAAATAAAACAATCACGAGACAAAAACAGACAGCTAATTTAGATAAAATAACAAGATTATATTAATATCATTTATCGTATTATTTTTTTTATAAGTCTACATTCAAATCAAGATCTTATTCTTTTTAATATTTCGTTATTTTGCTAAACAGAACAATGCATTATTATTGAAATCAAAGAATAAAAATATTGAGAAGAAAAAATTATTTTTTAATAAATAGCCGAACAATAAAAAAAAGTCAATAAAAATTGTTTCCGAAGTCGATGGCTACTTTTCTTTTTAACTGAACATAATTTTTATTTAGTTCATCGATCAAAACAAGTTACTTTATTTTAAAAGATCATATGTCTATTTTATTGCTTAGATCGAAGTTTTAAACTATATCTTCAGATATGCTTGTAGATTTCAAAATCTCTTTATGTCATTTTCAAATATTATGTCTACGAGAAAAAGATGCGTTTATCTAAAAAGAATACTTAATGACGGAAATTATTAACTATCTATTGATTCATTCATCCTTAAAGAATCCGAATTAATTTGTTTCTCTTTTGTCTCTAAAACATAATTTTATGATCGAGAAACAAATCATCATTTCTTCGAAAGAGTTTATCAACAGTCTATTTTAACACTATTGAAGTCAAATCTTCTCATGATTTTATTGAGAAAAAAAAATTGCAAGATATATTCTTCAATGATATCGATTACTAATAGGACAAATCTCAAGATCAATATGTACGTGTCATTTCTTTTCCTATACCATTTATCGAATATTTTGAATATGATACCTTCATAATATTTAATCATCTTATGTATATATCTACTTTGAAATCAAATCATACATTATCGTTTCTATCTTACAAATAGACTATTATATATTCATAATAATATGACTTCTCATTATTCAAAAACTTAATTGCTGTTCTTATAACAATTGTTCTTCATTTATTATTGTTGAATAGATTTATTGCAAGCACTTTCCGCCAAGCATTTTATTCAAATTAACGGTCAACGTTCAATTTATGATTAATCATTGTATGAAACATATTGTTGAACTATGACTACCGAAGATTTATTTTATTGATTATAATTATGTTCTTGATAATGATTGTTACTTGTAAAAAAATACAAATATTCGAAAATCTATGATGAGAGTCAATCTTTGTATTAGTTAAATTGTCTTGAATCAAAAAAAAACAGATAACGATTTTGATAGCAATCAAACTTCAACAGAGTTATATGATTATATCTGTTGATAATCAATAAAAGAAGTTCGATTATCTATCTAGAATCTTTATTATGATATTTATCACATTAGATGATTTCTTTTGACAAATTAAAGATTCAATATTTCGAGATATAAATCATAATTTTGTGAATCTTAATTATCTGCATCAGTCAAGTGATTAATCGAGTTGAAATATGTCAAACAATAGAAACGATTCATTTCAACACTTATTATGTTTTAATACAATCAATATCAGTCAATCGTAATAATCATCGAAGAAAAATGGAGTGTAACTAATTAAGCATAATGCCGTGCAGTAGACTGTTCATTTACGTATATTCACTTGAATACAGTTAGCAAACTATTTTTTTTCTCTTCCTTTCCCTTTTCTACTTGACGCTCATTTGTCTGCATATTAACTGGTGCAGAAGTTTGACTCACACGTTCTCTATATATTTATTTTTCTTTGATTTTCATGTGTCTGTACAACTTGCATAACTTAACCAATATACTATATATATCAATTATTTATACTGTCTGCACAGCTACCATTACTATTGTCGCCGATTGATTCGATTATCGAGAAGCTACTTGTATGCACGCGCGCGCTTGTGCATATATATGTATATATAGCAGCCTTGAAAGTCTTTGCAGTTTATAGGTTACCTTTCATCGTTATATGTAAGATGGAATGACGTAGAACAAAAAGAAAACGATAAAATCAGTCAAAAGTTGTGTGTACATGTTCATCTCATTTCTTATCGTAATAAAGAAAAAGTGGAGAAAGATTGAATATCAATGTAAATAGACATTACTGTACGTACGAACATCGACTCATGTGATTTCTCAGCGTAACAGAAACCGAGTAAATGCTGTCATTGCTGATGATGTGAAAGAAAGGTCGAACAAGAGACATACTTGAGAGAAAATTCACAGCAACACTATGAATAGTACATGTTCGATACTGACAATTGTCATCAAATAACAATCATAAATAATTATATAAAGATGAGTCATATTATTATCATAATTATATTGTCTTTTATGATAGAACATGTACTAACCTTCATGACAATGATTACGGTAGTAACAATGAGATGTCATAAGGCATATGATTAAAACTTTGTTTTTCTTTTCTTTATCAATAAAATCAGTTGTGTTTTAATTTGATTTAAAACGTTGTTCTTTATTCATATCGACACCTTGTATATATACATATTAGGATAAAAAATAAAGCTGAATTCTTTTGTTTTTAATGTGCAAAAAAATATGATAAATATTGATATAGATATTTTTTTCTTTTCTTCATACAATCAAATTTGTTTTTGAACTTCAATCAATATCACTTCATATGATGTCAACTAAACAAACTTTTTTTTTTATATGCTAAATCGAAACTTCAATCATAAAACATGTACACGTTGTACATTTGCTTTCGGCAAAACAGACATGAAATATATACGTCTACGTTCTTTGATTTCATTAGTTTTTTTTACTCCTGTTTATATATATATAACAAAACGACAAGTGTCCACTTTCATCGCACTACGACATACGCGATGTATATGTATATTTTAACATCAAACAACACCTACACACTTTTCAAATTCGTCTATCGAGCATAATGAATTGCGCACCTAGTCCCATCAGCATATTAGAAATATGTGTACGTGTACTTGATTCTTTTTTTTTCTTCATGTTTTTCGTTTGTACAAGAAAGAGAGAGAGAGAGAGAGAGAAGAAAATAAAACAGATAGTAGTATATAGAAAGTGGTAAATACAGTTGAATTTAAAATGCTGATTTCTTTATTTTTCTTGACATTTGAATACATGATTGTTTTTTTATTAATACGAATTTGAGTTAAATGTTCATTTTAAAAAATGTTCAGACGTCGGATTTCATTTTCTTAGTATGTAGACATACGGTATCATGATAGTACGTAATCATACTCTGAATAAACACATCTATTTTTTAACTCATTAACGAATAATTATAAAGTGTATGCCACATCAATCATGGTTGGATGTTGTTGAAGAACACGAAAGAAAACAAAAGAAAGAACAGGAAAAAAAATGACTATACACTTTCACATGGCAAAATGGAATATTGATAAATAGCACCAAGCGCTCATGTGTATATATGTGTTGTATTCGAATTAACCATTTATATATACACGATTACTGACAAATATTGACACATGAAATTAGTCGCACCAATGACGCTAGTAGCGACTGTTCGCAACCGATATTAATTTAACCACTATCCAAGTTCGGTCAGGTATGTGTAGAGAAGTGTATAAAACGATTGATCGTAGAAAAAAAAGTATGCACTAATGAGAGAAAGAGAAGAGCTAAGGTAATCTCGTAAAGATTAGAGAAGAGATCACCCTTCTTTTTTTTGTAATGATTATAATCGGTCTTAACTCAAATTTAGCACAACGATAACAGCAGTGTTCGTTCTCACATCTGACCGAAAAAAATATATTTGATTTTACTAACCCTATCTGACGGCCATTGTTCGTTGAATGATGAAAGTATAGGGAAGCAAAAAAAAAGATTGCTTATGTAATTAGATCAACTGTTTATACATGCATATTGTAAGTGATCATGTACTACATGAAATTTAACAAGTGAGTGTCATTTTCTAAAATAAGCACCAAAAAAAACAAGATACTTGGTAATTAATTAGTTTTTTTTTTTTATATTATTTCGAAGTGTTAATCTGTTTTTTAACACTGATTAATATCAGATCTTTTTTAGACTCGAAGTAAATTTTGTTTAGTTTCAAATAAATATTTTTTTTTGCAGCTGTTTTTTTTCTTTCTGTTCTATCTGGAAGAAATATAATTATTTACAGTATTATGAGCAGTTGACATTATTAAAAAATCATAATTTTACTATTATATGACATTCCAAGAATTCAAATAAAATAAAAAGAAAAATGAAAGTATTGTTCTTCGCATATTTCCTTTGCTCTTTTAAAGTGTCTTACATGCGGTCTCTTTTTTCTCGATGAGACATGCCGAGTGACACAAACATTCTTCTTTCTACGTTTCTTTCTCTCTCATTCTTCTTCTTTGTCTTTGTTTAACTGAGCTACATTAATTTCAGACATTTGATTTTGTTGTTCTTGCTTTGTGACAAGTCGCAATGGTGTATGGTCTATGCAATGTTTATTGTGTTTCTTCTTCTCATTGACATCTATACGACACATTGTCAAACAACAACAGCACCAAATCCTATTTATGGTTGTTCATTTTTAAATAATACATATTCGACAAACGCTGCAGTTTCTAATCAATTCCAATTTCCTAATCGTACTTCAATTATTTTTACGGCTAGTTACACATTTTTATCATCACCATTATCAATATCAACATTTGAACTTGGTCTAATTTATCCATTTTCGACATTAACTTATCTTGTACCTTTTCCTGTTTTGTTTGATTGTGCATCTATTGTTCGTTCTTGTCAATTGCAAACAATGGCAGTTACCGCATCAATATCACGCGATTCAGAACCTATACGTGCACAATTAACACAATTTAATTATACATCAACATCAATTCCATTGAATCAAATGGGTTTATATTTAAGAGAAGGACAATATAAATTAAGTAATTGTTCATTAAATGATGGACAATACATCACTGAACCAAATACAATATTTAATATTCAAATACAATATGAAAAATCTGTTGGTAAGTTTAGTTCATAATTATATTCATACAAAACTAATTATCATAATCGAATTAATCTAAACTTTTAATGTAGATCGATATTTAATAAACGTGTGTAGACATTTTAGTGACATGATATTTTATAATAATTGTGTTTTCTTCTTATTCTTAGTATTAATTTCTAAAAACAATTTAGTTTAATAGATTTAATGAAATAAACAAACAACTATAATTCGATAAAGAAAATAGTAAATAGACATATTTTATCATATCGTTCTACTCGATTGAAATGAATATGATAATTTATAATAAATAAAAACTAAGTTCAAGTTAATGATACAAGGCTTCTATAGTATCAACAGATGTTTATTGTTTTCATTTGTGTAAAAGAAATTGGAAACAATAGGGCGGTTATTTTCTTGTTAGATATTGGAAAAACAAACATTTTATCTTAATATTTCTTTTCGTTTGTCTTTGTAACAATTAGCTGAAACTATTCAATTGATTAATTCTTAATGAATAGTAGAAGATAATATTCAATGCGATTTTCATACTATTTTGAAGCGTAAATCCTATAAAATGATAATAAATACATTTCTGTTTCTATCTATATTAACCGGAAGTTGAGAAAGATTCTTGGCTTATGCAATCTAAATAAATTTTTTCTAGCTGATTAACTGTATAGTATTTAATCGAAGGCAACAAAAAAGGAAGAGTTCGACTATGTCTAATAGTGTGTTTCCCATCTTCCTTTGAAACGTTTTTCAAGCATAGATCCGTTACTCATTTATTTCAATATTTCAAACCTTGAAACTACTACAATCGATCTTTTTCCTTTAAAAGAATTTATATAAAAAACATAAATTTTTCTTTCTAAATCATTTTACGAGAAATAATCTATTTTTCTAGGTACTTCTTGTAATCCATCGACTGATACCTGTGGTTTATCACCTCTTACAACTTGTTCACCATCATCATCAACATGTACGTGTCTTTCAACAAGTTCTGTTGTATCTTATTCGGATTCGTTCTATTGTGCTGATACAATGAATGCAAGTAATTGTCGTATATTTCCAACACGTTGTGTAACATGGTGTAATTCAACAACAAATAATTTATGTATTTGTCCGATAAATACATTAAAAATTCAACGAAATAATTTATATGTTTGTGAATTACCTGTAAATTCATTTAACTGTTTAACTAATGATACTATACGTCGTTGTCCACTTGGACAAATTTGTCTAAATGGACAATGTACTGATGATATAATAACAACAACAACAACGACAATATTAACAACAACGCAAGCAAACGGTTCCAATAAGTAATCAAATACACAAAATTTATCAGAAAAAAAACAAACTTTTTTTTTGTTTTTGAAATTTTTTAGTTCAATTGATCAACGTCTTCGTATAGCTCTTGGTGTTATTGCTGGTCTACTTGGTACATCTGTACTTGTTCTATTAGGAGTATTTTGTTGGTTACGTCTAAGACAAAGACGACGTCGAATACAAGCAGCAAAATCACCATCACCATTATCATCTTCGTCAACATCATCACTTTATATTTCACCTATTCAACAGCAAGATCAACAACAACAAGAATTTTCTCCAATCAATACAATTTATCAATTACCATTTGATAATAATTATAAAAGATTTACGCCTATTTATCGAACTGACTCATTTCGTCAAGCTGTTCTTTCAGGTCATAGACGAACAAGTCAAACTATTGAACATATATCAGCAAAACGAGATAGTTTTATTGAACGATCATCATTTCATAAAGATGGTATAGGATCACCTATTTATAGTACATTAGAATTTATTGTTCCACCCGAAACAAAAAATTATCGAAATTCAAACAAAATAAATAATGATATTTATCAAATTATTATTCCATCATCATCATCAACAATTCTTACTCATTCTGTATAATTTTTAATCATAATGAACAATAAAAGAGTGATGTGTTTTCTTTTTTGTCATTGTTTTAATATAAATACATATTAATAGGAAAAAGATTTCAGATATTCATTGATTTTATATTAAATAATCTAATATCATGTCCTTGAAATTCAAGAAGACTTATTTCTTATTAATTTATATTTTGAAGTGGCAAATGAGTAATAACTTTTTTAATTTGCATATATTCTGATTCTTTCAATGATGTTTAACTTCTGAAAAAAAAGGATTGCAATAGAAATTCTAGATTGAATTCTTCTTTATGAATATGATTTACTAATTATAATATTTTTTATTGAAAAAAATAATAATGTTGATCATACGATTAATTATTGTGTTATGCTGATAGACACGAGTAATATATCATAGAAACAAAGACAATAGGAAAAAAAACTAAACTCAAATATCTAGACCATTGATACGTATAATACTCTTTCATATATAGTTATTCTTTATTGAATATATATTTCGGTTTATAAATTGTTACCTACTATTAATACATGTTAATCATAAAAGATATTAGTCGTAATATATTGTAGTGAGTGTGAAAGACAAACAAAGAACGACTATCATACTAATTTTGCAATGAACTTTAATTTTACGGTTGTGTCTATCATGGTCGATGTCGGTCCCTGTGTGATGTTTGCTATGGTTCATAATGAGCCGTTACTAAGTTGTTTGTTGCGTCTGTGACTGTCCAAATTTCTACTTCTATACTCTTCAAGACTCCTTTTGGATCGTGCTTCATAAAATGAAAACCAACATATTAGTTTCATTATCTTTCCTCATTTTCATTCCATGATTTTGATTACTGCAGAAAAAACTATTAATACAATCCCTGTGGGAGTCAAATGTGAAATACAATGGAGTTACTGCTATTGTAAACGAAAGGTTTTAATTAATATATGTTTCGGTTTATGAGTTTCCACCTACTGTTCATGCGTGTCAATGATAAAAGAGATTATTCATAATATATTGTAGCGAATGTGAAAGCAAAGCAACAGATAACTATCATGCTAGTTCAACAGTAGACTTTGATCTCACAGATATGCCTGTGACGATGAAGAGGTATTGCTAAGATGTCTGTCACGTATGTGTGCATATTTGGATATGATCAATAATACTTTGGATAAACTACATAATAAATCGTTTGAAATAGACAACTGATGTATGTCCAGTAGATATATACGTTCAGAAAGTTACTTGTACTTGATTCTGTTAATCATCTCAGTAAACTTTTTCTCCTTACTTTAATACATTCTGTTTTTGTATAAAGCTTAAAAATTTTTAAAACCTGGTTTTTCGAACTATTTCAATCAAAGAAAGACTCATATCGGTATTTTTTACTGCTTTGTTTTTATTCTAGACCACATGATATAATAAAAAAAATTTGCTCAGAAATGATAAAATCTAATATAATTTTTGACGCTTTTAATGTTCAAAGTATACGAAATGATAAATGAAGTCAGTATTATTTCGTTTAGAGAAAGAAAAAAAGACTTATCTCTAGCGATTCTCTCTGATAATTGAGTTAATTTCTCATATCATTTTCTAATATTATTATCATATCTGATTTTTAATAATATAATAAACTTTATCGATATTTTTTATTTGCCAATACTATTGTTGTAACCATGTGATGAATATAACAACAACCAACTTGATGGTTTTTCTTCGTTATCAGTTAAGAACCGTTGAATCAATCATTATTATGAAACAAGAAAAATAAATGATTTGCACAACATAACATGCATTTACCATAAACTGGAAGTAATCGAACATTTTAATGTCATTATTCATTTGAACGGAATAAAAACTTTATTGACGAAGAAATGACGTCATTTTGACAACACATTATATAATTAGAAAAGAATGAGTTTGAATCATAACATATGCTAAACCATAATAATAAATTCATGATTTTTCCGTTGTGTTGCCTATCCGACGAGGATGTTAACCAGGAATCCACAAAACTACCTTTTTTGTGCGACTTCTGTATTCTTTTTATAGCAAAACACGTCATGACAGATTCAATGTTATCTAATAATTTGTTGCCTATTTATTGACCTTTCACTTGATATTTTTCGATAAAATAAACAAATCTCAAAATTTGAATGCTTTATTTTAGTAAAATAGCTCTCTATTAAATGTTCGTCTATGAACGAGTAATATGATTCAAATATTCTAAGCTTATTAAGTAACATACAAAACAAAATGATGAATGAACATCGTACTATTACTACTAACGGGGGCATAACTCCAACTGTAATCCTCCGTTTAAACTCATATTAGATTCACAAAGAGGGTTGAGTAAGATTAGAAAAGCTGAAAAGGGTTCTTGTCTATGGGTTTTTGATACCGAATTATGACCGTTTTATTAAAGTTTTGACGCAGTTTTAGGTATTTATTGGAAAATTAAATAATGGAATTTCTACCTGAAATTCAGCCCATAGATGATTGCAATGATCCTTAGAATATTCTGAAAGCTTTAGCAGAAAAGAATATTTATTTGTCGAGATATGCAATTTCCAACAACTAATCGCTTGCCGCAGATACGTTGCAAAAATCGAGTTTACTTGGAAATTCCTCAGTTCGATAAAAAGAAAAAAACATTCTTTTCGACTGAAAATTTCAGGATACTCCAAGAATCATTGAACCTATTGAATTTTCACAATATCAATTGCTTTGAATGAGAAAAGGACGCTATTTGCACGATCAATAGTATAATATACAAGGATTTATTGCTATTTTAGATAAAACTTTAATGACTTGCTTATAGTTTTGCAACATTTAGAAAATGAACCAGTGAAGTGATTAAATATATCATCGAATATCGAAAGTGCCAAGCAGATTTAGATATTAGATCATTTAAATTTTGTTCAGATTGATGTAAATCAACCTTGAAACTTTTTTTTTTGTGTAAGTATCAGCTTTCATTGAGTCTCGCCTAATATTAAAGCCTTCTGCTGTCTTTGCTCTCAATGTAGCACACACCATAATTCGAGTTCGAAAAGTAATGTAAGTTTCAGAAGATTTCGAGATAGTTAACACAAGCATAGAAAAGCTTCCGATGTGTATACTCCAAGGAAAAGTCGAGTTTTATTTATGATTGCAGCATCATTGTAAAATTAAAGTAATGGCTTTTTCACCTACGATAATATTCCTACTTTAATGTAAATTTGTCAGCTCACAAAATTGTTATTCTTTTCCTTTGTCTTGCATAATCCTTTGGCATTATTCATGTTAGGTATCCTACGTATTTTATCGTATTCAGTTTGCTTCTTGCGAAATATGTAACGCAACGGTAGCTGCTTACCAAACTCTCGAATAGAACGTAACGTGTTTTTTAACGATTTATGTCAATTGTAACTCATATTATTATTCCTTTTTCACCTAACTAGTAGAGTCGTTGCAAATAATCGAACTCATATTGTGAAAATGCTTCAAAGAAAACGGAATTGGGATGCACACATTCATGAATCGCCACAATTCTACGTGCCTCTCTCAAGCAGGTGAGCGTCAACGGGACAATACAGTCCTATGCCGCTGATGTAACGATCACACAAGTATTTCGAAATGATGAAACTGTACCAATTGAAGCTGTGTACTGTTTTCTATCAAAGAACAAGCAACTGTCGTCGCATTTGTAGCTCATACTGACTATCGTGAAATTGTCATTCAATTAAAAGAGAAGCAACAAACACAGCAAGAATATAATAATGCTCTTCGAGAACATCATGGTGCTTATTTGCTCGAACAAAATGAAGAGTTCATGTACAATTTTATCATCAACGTTGGAGCTCTTCCACTGAACCAGGAATATCGTAGAATGATTTCCTATGTCATCGAATTCGATCTAGTTGAAAACGGGACGAAAATTCGATTTGTTCTTCCAACGACTATCGCACCTCGTTACAATCCGAACAAAGGTGATATCAGTTCATCAACAAACACTAATACAGAGTATGATAGATTTCAATCAGAAAGATGTCTATCTCATTGAATTTGTCCAAGAAAATACTCATCTGGATTGAGACATAATTCTGGATATTGAGCTATCTGAAAATCAATCGAATACAATTGTTGCTGTGGAGTCAGGTGTTATCATGGCATCGTTCACTCCAACTGAACAAGATTGTCGACTTGCAATGAATAATAGGAACATTAGCAACGAATTTATTTTTGTTATTGACTGCAGTGGATCAATGAAAGATGAAAATAAGATTGGACTAGCTCGTCAGGTCATGCTACGCTTCCTTAAGAGTCTTTCTATTGATTGCCATTTTAATATTATTCGATTCGGAAGCCGATATCACAGCTTGTTCGATGATATCGCAACCATTTACAATGATGACAATGCTCTAGGAGCTGAACGGCTCATCAATCGCATTAATGCTGATATGGGTGACACTGAACTGGTAAGTTCTTATTAGCTTTGTATAAGAATGCAATGATTTTGATGAACCGTTACGTGGCTACTTTAACTAGAATTTTTTCATTTGGTTTGGGTCATTCACCTAGTTGTTCGCTTATCAAAGGTCTTGCTCGCACAGCGAACGGTCATTTCGTATTCATTCCACTGGCTACAAATGTTGATGTATACGTCGATGAACAGTTGAAGAAAGCATTGCAACCTTGCGTTACCAATGTTCAAATAAAGTTGAATCTTGATCCAACATTCATCGCTATTATTCCTACAAATGTACCACCTGTCTTTATCAATGATCATCTGATTGTCTATATTCTACTCAACGACGACAAGTTAACATCGTTTGACCATAATATAATCGTTGAACTCTATAGTGAGAAAGATTGTTTAGGTAAGGCTAAAGTCAACCGAATTCCGAATGTTAGCAAATGCAGGAATGATTGCTCGGCTAGCTGCCAAAACATTTATTTTGGAACTAGAACATTCAAAGCTACCTTTATCTACGAAGAAGGATATGATTAGTTTGCGAGAAACTCAATGTGAAGAACAAGATTAGCAATAGAAAGCAGTATCAAATGATAAAAGTATATAGACAAAACAGACAATAAAAGATCGCATTGTCGAGATTTCACTCAAACATAATATTCTAAGTCCATAAACAGCTTTCGTTGGCATAGAAAAATGTGTCAATGCAAGCAATGCTAATATGACTTTAAGTAAAGTTCCTAGACAAATATTAGCCAATAATCAATATTTGAAATATTTGAACACAGTTATTTCTCAAATGCGTCGTCAGCAAAGTGGAAACGTCTCATTTTTTTCTATCAAACTAAAGTACGTTCTCGTCAAATGCATCATAATCTTGATCGGTTTCGCATGTATGTTCAGTAAAATTGCAAGAATTATGAACAAGCTCAAAAATAACTGGAGATTAATTATCGTCAATTGCTGTCCGCTTGCAAGAACTTGATCGCGACTATGGACTCTCCAGAATTCTCTACATATAAACTGCAATTTGCTAAAAAACACTTTAAAGAGGCTGGAAATCTTTTCGAGTACAAGAAACGCGAAGTGTAACCTGTTAGAATGAAGTGTGAAAATGCTCAGGAATCTTGGAACAGTGCTGAGCATAAAATGAAGTCCGATGAAATCTGTTATGAAGGAGTTCAAGAATATTGTACCCATCGACATGAGAAACGTCTTGGAATGGCTTGTGAATCTCAACGTAACGACGCTCATGATAATTCATCATCAGCAATGCAATATGCTGAAGCTCTTTAGCGTTTTGAGCAAGTGAAACGGTCTTCAAAAAATTCTCACCATGCTATTTCTCAGACTGATCCGGACGATCAAGATTTAACAAATACAGAAGTGCTCATTTCAAGCATTATTGTCGTTGAGCTTGAGACACGGTTTGCGTCACTTTCGTCAATGTGGTATGGTGTGATACAGAAAGCATGCAAACATCTCCTTGACATGCTCGACAAAGACAACGAGAAATTTGGCACCTTACTCGAAGACATTAGAAAACAACTATAAAGATTTAAAAGTCTTTTAAATGAACATTTCAAGATTTATTAAAGTAACTAGAACAAATAATCATTATAATAAAAAGGGAATAAATGATTTCATTTATTCGCTTGATAGAATTCTGTGCATCACGAAAGTTTGCATATGAGCCAGTCCGTGTAAGCCACGACCGAATCACTGAGGAGCTGTTCAATCGAGGTCGTCAGATCTTGTTCATTTTCTGATATGTTGTAGAGGGAAGAGTTCTAAGAATATTGGTGAAAGAATTTTGAAAATCCATTGAGCCGTTCAGGTTTTATACTGGTTTTACAGAAACCCCTAAAAAGTGCCAGTTTTCGAAGTGCATATCTAAATGNGCATGCAAAATTTGAGCATTATCTATAGAGCCGTTGTTGAGATATACTGACATTTAGATATGCACTTCGAAAACTGGCACTTTTTAGGGGTTTCTGTAAAACCAGTATAAAACCTGAACGGCTCAATGGATTTTCAAAATTCTTTCACCAATATTCTTAGAACTCTTCCCTCTACAACATATCAGAAAATGAACAAGATCTGACGACCTCGATTGAACAGCCTCGGTCGTGGCTTACACGAACTGGCTCATATATACAAGATAGATATAGTCCTGGAATAGTTCAAGTGATAAGCATCACTTTTTAACAATTGTATTCGATAATCCTTCATGTTTTTTTTTTCATATAGTTTCATATACAATAGTTGTTTAAAGTGTTCTCCTTGAGTTGAAATACATTAATTCATAATTATTTCAATACTGAAAAAAACATCCGACACAGTTACATGACCTGTTTACGAAACATTGTCGAAAGAGTAATCGATGGAATGTAATAGACTGTTGTCCATTGACTTTATAGAGATCATTTCAAGATAGATATCAAAATGAATTTACATGCATTAGAATCCATCACCACAATGGAAACACTATATTGCTTTTTATAAGGCGAATTTGGACAGCGATATCTCTCATGGAAAATACCATTTGGTCCCAAATGAAGTAGTTTGAGATCACGTAGTCAGAGAATTTCATTTGAATGTCATCACATAGATCAATCAACAATTGTTTTTTGTGAATGGAGCTAAAGAATTCTTTGTTCTATGTTGCAATAATTTTATCAGCCAACCACTCTTCCAGTAACAGAAGCACTTATTCTTGAAAGAAGAATACGCTGTTATTTCATTCAAAACTGGCAGGATATGTAGATTGATGGAGATTTGAGTCTCACTCGACTTCACTCTATTGTGATAGAGGCTATGATATTATGAAGTGTTAAGTTACTTGCTTAGAATTTCTTCTTCACTTCTCATGCACAGAAATGAATAACATCACGGCATATTTTCTCGATCTAACTTTAACAGATAATAGCATTTTTCTCCCACATTCGTGTCAGTCGTGTAATTTTACTCAACGAATATCAAAACCTATGATCTTTAACCGAAATGAAAGCTCTACTCTCGTGGATTTCAAACTGAAACTGAACAACTGGTTTACTCGTTGTTAGTTCGACCCCGGGGATTATTTAGACCGGTTAGCTAAGCTCATTTCAATCTTCAACTTTGAAGCAGAATTTTGAAGGCGAACTTTTATCTTATTTTCTGACTGCTATTCACTAAGGTCACTTCATGAAAGTTTAACACTTTTGAAGGCTCGATCAAGTAGAGACCGCAAAAACAACATAAGATTAAAAGTTTTTTTATATGAAATGTATGCGTCTTTCATTAGACATCATCAGTCCAAAATAAGAGTCAAATCATTCCAATTCAGAAGAGGCAATAAGCATCATTAATATGACTTGAACCCAACATGTGACTTCAAATTGAACAATATCCATTGTTTCGAATGAGAAACTGACGCTCTTGTAAAAATAAATAATATAATCGACGAGAATTTATTGCTATTTTATTTAAAAGTTTGATAACTTGCTCATATTTTGGAAATGCTTAGGAAATAAAGTAATGAAGTAATTAAATATATTATCCAACACCAAGAGTGTCAAGCACATTTAGATATTACATCATGGCAATGTTATTCATATCCATGTAAATTAACTAACCTTGAAACTTTTTATATAACCGCCAACTTTTGTTGAGTTTCGCCTAATATGAAAATCTGATGGTGTCTGTTACAAAAAAAATATCGATTTTTTAGAAAATTTGATTTTGAATCATTATTTGACATTATTGACCAAAAGTATTATAGGAAATGATTTTGTAGACGTTGAAAATCTATTGAATCGATTCACTAGATGTCGCTCTTAGTCGAATAATTGAGACTCTTTAGTCTATAATAATTCATTTCTGTTAAAAAATAACGATCAAATTTCAGTTAAACTAATCTCTTTTTTATGTTTATTCGACGCTTCATTTATAAAAATGAGCTTTATAATCATAGATATCTTTAATTTGTTATATTTAATCAACCAATAAGATAAATCTATCTCTCTCCTAGAGATAATCTCATCGCTTTCTTTCTTTGTTCAACTTGAAAAAAAAACTGAATATATCGTCATCCCATTTGATTATATTCTCTTATGAGTAGAAAGATACTTCATTTTCTTTTCTTCAATATATACATATGAAACCTTTTGTTTGAATATATTTGATGAAACCTTTGTAATTTTATTGATTTCTCTATCAACTTCTTATAGATTTATTCGTTACTTTTATTTTTATTTCATCTATTCTTGTTCGATTGAAAAAAGAAAAATCATCATGCTCTTACACAATAATACGATTGCCACTGCTGGTTTTCTCTCAACTACAGAATCTCCATCATCAACAACAAGTGTCTATTCTCAAACAAATCCACCAACATCATCAACAAATCAATTTTTTCAAAATTTTCCACCACCTTGGATTCCACAATATAATAATCAACGATTATTAACTCAACAATTTTTTGTACGTATATTATTTATAAATTTAATTGTTTTGTTTTGTTCTTCAAATATTCATTCTTACAGGAGTTAGAGATATATATCAACAGGTAATCATTTTTATATAGTGTCGCTTCTTTTCTATCTTTGCTTTTTATATATGTGTGTGATATTCTAACAAATTTTGAGTCTTATCACAAATCATTTTTTCAGGAGATATAATGTCAGATGATGAAGATAATTATGGTAAGATAGTTTGATATTGTCTTTTTTTATTGTTGGTGTCATGGTTTACCTATTATCCCATATCAACTTTCTTGCACATATATATGTATATATATATATATATTTTTATAAGCACTTGATGCAGTTATTCTATAAAGAAAAAATCGCATGGATTACTGGTTCAATTCGATGTAGTGTGACTATTTTTTTTAAATGCATGTATAAGAGCATGTCGATTTCTTTTGTCCGTATAGATGATGTACAGCATGAAGTTAGTTTGATTTTCTATGAATGAGGATGATATGCATGTATGTATGTTATTCTTTTCTTTATTCCTTTCTTTTTAATACAAATCAATGTCTATCGGTCAAATTGAGTTGATAAATAAACATAGAACATAAGTGTTCATTTCAATGGTAGAGAAAAATGATAACCTTGTTTGAGCAGTAATTGTCACATACATATACGACAAGGTCTGTTTATGTTCTACGTGTCAATTGATCAATTTTCATAGTAATCCTTGTTTATGTCACGATCGTCATCAATCTTTTTCTTCGACAGAAATTTTGATTCGTTGATCAGATATGTTTCATACGAATCATTGTCTTTTATATTTCGAGCGAATAGAAAAGTCTGCATTTAAAATAATTTATAGTGAAAGCATGTGTCTCATACGTATAACCCTAACATTCATGTATGTCGAAAGCACGCATGCATTCGTCAATTTGAATATGTAGAAAAGGAAAGTACGAAAAAAGAAACCAGAAGAAAAACCCGATCATGTATATATAACCTGCAAACATACACAATTGGTTTTGTTAACAAAAGAAAGAGAACGCAAAAATAGAAAGAGAAAACTATAGAAAGAGTCTACGTTACGAGATATAATGAGTGAAGCTTCTTCACTACTAACAAATTGCCAAAACAATAGATAGAAAAAGCAAGAGAACAAAAAAAAAGTGTAGGAAAGAAAAAGAGAAAAATAAAATCATATTTCATATCTTCGATTATTTCGTCGTTTTTCTTGGTCGTCGTCCTTATTGTTGTCTCCATCCATTCTCATAAGACGCTCATCACATGAGTCCAATGAAGACAAAGCAAAAGATCGATAAAGAATAAAAAAAAAAAAAAAAAGAATGTTTCGTTGTTATTATCAAACAAAAGAAGAAACCTACCACTAGTGTGATCACTCAATCGAACCAAACTTACACATCATTTAGAACGACAAGGAAAAAAAAAAGACTAAAAAGTGTATGCGCGCGCGCGTATCAAATCGACAATAGTATACGAAGACTCTTCTCACTTGGCTCGTTCAGTTAATCTTCTCTTTTTCTATCGATTACGTGCATACAACCAGCACACGACTACGACTGTTCGACAGCGTGTCGTGAATAAGCAAAAGAAAAAAGAAACGAGTCTACTACATTGAAACAATCATAAAATAATCATATTTTCGTTGTATATATATATATGTGTGTGCATCTAGTTCACACGCACGCCATCGAACTCAACCGACATGTTGTTAATTGTAAGTGCATGTTTGTAAGACTCGAGGGAAAAAAAGACTTTCATCTTGTAATCGAGATATTTGAATTCTATTGTTTTTGATTGTTTCACGATTTTATTGTTCTTATGCTGGCCACTAACTCATCTTGCTCAATTTGTCTTGTTTTTTGTTATGTATTTTATATGATAGTTATAAATATGTTCAATTTTATTCTCATTTTTCTTTTCTTTTTTTTTGTTATTTAATCTATTTTATTATTTAGAGTCCGACGATGTTAGCAACAGCTCCATCACATAGTATTAACAGTCGAACTAATAACAATACGAATACAACTAGTCCCACGACAACACTTCTCACAAAAAACGATCTTATCGCTTTTCATCATCTTCAACAACAACTTGATGCATCATCATCCAACTCGGTATGAATATTAAATATAAATAGAAAACTACATGACTTCCGGCCATATGTTCTCAGATACACAATGACTTAGGCCATTTTTTTTACTCTACGAATTTCATCCATTCCGTTTTCTTTTAACATCCTAATTAGATGAATGACTAAATGGCAGAGAAAAGATGATAAGAAAGCAAGAGGACGATACAAGAAAAAAGAAAAAGTTTGGTCAACAGGCAATATTTAGATGTATCCGTTCGATTGATTGAAGAGAACAGTTGAGCATAATGAAAGCATCTGCTCAAGTATATCGATGTTCTATAGTGAGAAGAACCGCAATTAGTCGGTCATTCGCTTACTTGATCTGTCTGTCTGTCTGTTATATTTATCTAGAGATCGACCGGAAAAAAGTAACCAAACGGAAGTTTTCTTATAGCAACAGACAATATCTTGTCTTGTCTTTCTCTCTTTCAAAATCAAACTTATTAGTAAAATAAGTTAAATAGACGAAAAGAGCAATCGGTACATCTTTTGATTTTATAAAGAAAAAAAAAGAAGAAGAATGCTTGTCCATAAGATGTTTATCTTAGCAAATAGTAATCAAATGTTTAGATTTTCTCGAAAATTTGTTGGCATGCATTTATTAGCAATTGATAGATGATAACAACTATATGTATTATTTGGTTGGCTAGAAAGATATCTGCGTATTAAGACAAGAAAAAAGGCAATGACAATATCGAGTATTCTATTAATACATGATTGCTACGATGATGAATGAAAAGAAAATAGGAAGAAGTAACATCACCAAAAATTTTCCTATATATATGTTTCTCTCGCATTTTCTATAGTAGACACATGATTATACGTTGCACATTTTTTTCTATAGATTATATTATCGAAGAGTGATGATAGCATTCTCTTTTTTTCTCTCGTTTTTTTCCCTAACAGTTGTTTATATTCGTTCTCTTACCATTAATGAACGAGAATACTGACCGAATTTGTTTTCTGTTCTTCTAGTTTGTCTGTGTGCTGTATTTTATTGATGGCACTGCTATCTTTTTCTCTCCACCCATTTTCCCAATATAGATCGTCTTTCTTTTTTCTTTTCTTTCTTCATATTAGTGCGAGCAATGAGATATATGAGAACATTCGTCTTCTTCTATTGATTCCACGAGCTCTTTCTTTTTTTTTTGTTATTGTTGTTGGTGCTATATCTACAATGTTATATTCATTTCTACCATCGGATAATTATTTAACATTAAATGTAAGTTTTTGTTTTAATAAAGAGTTTTTTTTTCTCTCTCTCTCTAAATATGTGAAGTCAACTGAAAACTAATGTTGAAATAGGGTGGAGAATATAGGATGATTTGTTTTCGCTTCAAAGATCTCTTCGAAATGCAAATGCTTGGTAAAAGAAGGATCATATTCCCGGAAGCACATTAAATTAAAGATTAGAAATGCATATAAACTAGTTTGATAGAATAGCTTAACAATGCTAGAAATGATAATAAATAACTATCAAGAAATTTGTTTTTTTCCCTCTTAGCCTTTGGTACCAACATTATTATCAGCTGCAGCCTCATCCTCATCATCAGGTTCAACAACGATAAATACCACGGGACCATCATCAACAATAAATAATGGTACATACTCTTCACTATCATCATCAACGGATTCATCAACATTGGTCACTGTTCCTAGTCAACATCATTCATATGCATCTACAAAAATGAATAAAATATCGAGTCTTGTAGTTGATTCAACATCTCATTTGCAAAAAATTGTTAATTTATCGTCATCACCATCATCGGTTATCGAATCAACAACAACGAACAGTAATAATAATAATAATCATAATCATAATAATAATACACAATCAATATCTCCTAATGATAATGTATGTGATTGAAAGAATCGTTTGTTTAAAAAGAAAATACATAAATTAAATATTTAGGTTCAATCAAATTCTTGTTCATCTCATTCACCTCAATCAACAAGTACAATAACACCCAATGGTTCATCATCATCATCATCATCGTCATCATCAACAAATAATTCTAATACAACACAAAAACGTTTACATGTATCAAATATTCCATTTCGTTTTCGAGATGATGATCTTAAAGCTATGTTTGAAGTAATTATAAAAAAAAACATCAAAGATTATATTGAACTTGTTTTCTATTTAGCAATTTGGTGAAATAGTTGATACTGAAATTATTTTCAATGAACGTGGATCTAAAGTATGTCAAAAGAACAACTAATATATAGATTGAAAGACTTATTAATTTACAAGAAAAATAAATATATATATAATTTTTTCGAACATTGACATTAAAACAAAGTGACTTATATTCATTTATTTTATAATTATTCAATATTTTAAGTTAATTAGATTTTCTCTTTGCATGAAACTATAGGATTTTCTTCTGTCGATTTTCATTAAAAAGAGAAAAATATATGTTAAAATTAATTAATTTAGTCGTGTAAAGTTTTGTATGAAAATTTTATCCAAATAGAATATTTAAAATTTATATGATGAATAAATGAATTATGACAATTAAGATTTTATCACTTTTCATCTTTTACTTAATCATAGTTAAGTAGAAAAAGCCACAACTAGAAAACAACTTGACTTGTCAAGTGGAAGAAAAGAATAGAGATTTTTGATTATATTAACTAACTAATCTAATAAAAAAAATGACAAGATGATTTAAATAAAAGACAATAGCATTTCAGCTTTGAAAAGTGGAATATATTTGTTTTTCTTGGTTTATATATAGACGTTATAGTAAAGATTCCAGTGTGTAGTGATTAAATGTGAATGTCGAGAAAAGATCTTATTGATTTTTTTTTCTATTTTTAAAGGGTTTTGGTTTTGTAACATTTGCATCTAGTGATGATGCTGATGCTGCTCGAGAAAAATTACATGGAGCCATTATCGAAGGACGTAAAATCGAGGTATGTATAGGAATCACTTTGTCAATTAATCTCTTGATAATGTTTAATAATAAAAAACAAGAATATATCAAAGAATAAAATCTAGCTCATCTCTCTTCTTCTAGTTCTTTTTCTACTACTACTACGCGTGAATCAATATATAGGAGGTAGAGATAATGATAAAAAAAAAAGGCAACCAACTATTACACTCTCTATTACTATTTTTTTACTTCAAACAACTGTTTTCGTTTGCATGCCTGTTCGTGGCTGCTTGTTCGTCTTTTCTACATTGATCGATTGTTTTCTAATTTAAATTAGGCAGAAAATTGATATAATTAAATCAACAAATAAATAAGAGAGCATGATAATATTCAACCATGAAATGCAAGTTTAACCTTTGGCTATAGCCTTTAGAATTATTACTTAGTTCAATTTGTGTTTTTATATGTTGTTGTCTTTTTTTTCCTTTTACCTACGTTGGAACTAAATTAGATTTAATGTATTTATTTAAAAAGAAATACTCCGATTCTCAGCGCATGATGCATGGTTGTTCGTTCATTAAAACTAAAATAAATTAAGTGAACGATCATTAATGATAAGATGACACTCGCATGTAAAACCATGCACATTAAATCTTTATATATATATATATGTATACACACATTTGGAAACGTACTCTTTATATATTTGATTTGATAGCAAATGTTTTAAATAATTAAAAAAAAAGACAAAAGTTTATATTTGTCGTAGTAGATCATGCACATATTTTTTTAATACTTGACACATATGAATGGCTCGAAGGTTTCAATCGAGCGAGATTTCTTTGTTTCTCTTTGCTTTTTGTCGGTGAATTGTTTGGCTCTAATTTGTTTTTGTCTATTTCACAATTTAATTACACAAAATATTTCATTTTATTAGGTTAATATGGCAACTGCACGATCACAACCAAAACTTAAACCTGTCTTAGCAAATCCATATAGTTAGTTGAAATGATTTATTTTAAGATTTAGAAGAAGAAAAAAACACGTTTCTTTGTTTTTTTCTTTAGGTGTAATGATAAATGCACGACAACGTCCGACATTAATCCCAGCTACATCAACTGCAGGACTACGTACAGCAACAGCATTTACTACCGGTCTAACTTTACCCGGTGGATATACGTAAGTTGATCATTCAGACAAGAATTAATATCGAAATTTTTGTTTGTTTTTTGAAGAATTTATCCTGATCAGTTAACTACTTTGAGTGGTTTAACAGCTTATTCAATAGCTGCTACTGCTCAGCCACAAACAGGTGTTCGTTATATAACAAGTACACCACATGGTCTTACAACGACTGGACAACCAACTGGAACTTATACATTTGGGTAAATTGAGTTAGAAAATGAAAACAAATATTTTGTTAACTGGTTTTATTTTTATTATTAGCGTTTTACCAATGCATAATGGTGTTAATGGACCAACCGGATATTTTATAAATGGAGCACCGACAACGAATATAAATTCACCAACTGCTCAACTTGGGTAAGATATTTTATGTTTGATTGTAATGTGATATTTGTGTGTATTTGTGTTTGTATGAGAATCTTATCCTTCGTTCTTAGTCCATTACTTCCCTCAGCAGCAGATGGAACATCATTATCAGCATTTGGACCCATCTTTTCTTCTAATTTTACTCCGTTGGTATGCTCCACTCTTTTTCTCCTACACAAATCAAACTCGATATAAGCACTCTGTTCATAAAAGAAAACAAAAATTGTTTAGTCGAGCATGATGCATGAGTTGCATGTCCAGTCAATGTCATTCTTCTTATTTGCCGAGATTTTCTTAGCTTAATGTGTATTATTAACTATTTGTTTTTATTCTATAAAATTTTTTTATAGACATGCATATCAAGAAACGGCATATATAACTACGACACCAGCTGGAACTATCGGTCCTATTACCGTAAGTTAATTTTAGATAAATAAAATTCTTAAAAATAAGCTTTCTTTTTATAGGGTATGCGTAACAATGTTCGCTATACACCTTATTAGCCCATTGATGCCAATTCATAATTTTCTTTTGTCGAACAGTACTAGTATCTACATACATCGATTGTTTTTTTTTCTTCCTCTGTTATTAAAAAAAGCTGTCGTTCTTCTTTATCTCATGTATATATATATATAAACGTGCTTCCTTTTCTTCGTTGCACACAGTGAAGACTTTGTTTTCTGTAATCGATGCATACTGATAATCAAAACATATTTAAAAGAAACAAAACAAACAAAAAATTATTATAACCCTTTTCTTTCTAATTGCTCAAGTTGTGCAATCTTTTGTTCTTCTCATTTATTCATGTATGTGTGATGTTGCATTTATTCATTATCATCGATCAAAAAAAAGCAGCAGAAAACAAATCGTGTGTGGTGCTATATTATGCTTTGTGTGTGTGTATGCGTGTGTATCTCGTTTTGTTTTTTGTTCTTTTATGTAAAAAAAAACCAAACGAAGAAAAATCAAAGCTTTACAAAACAAAATGTAAAAGAACCATTGCCGAGTCAATGAAGATCTGTCATTTTTTCTTTTGTTGTTTTTTTTTGTTTTCTGCTGTTATTACTATTATTGATTTGTCTATATCTTGCCGTTCTTTGCAATGATATTGGTAAATTAATGTCTTCTGATGGTTTTTCTTTTTGTTATCTGAACTTTTTTTTTCTCGTGCGATGATATTCGATTGTCTGAACATATATGATCATAAGGAACGTTTTCTTTTTTTACATAAACATATATATTTAAAACAAACAAATGAATGGTCATAAGTTATTGTTTTTTCAAGCACGAAAAAGAAAAGACTCTTGAAAGTAATTAAGCGATAAACATCAGAACGGAAGTGTATTTACTTCAGGAAATAAAGAATTGTAATTCGTAGTTTAATTATATTGCCACTATAAAAACATTTGAGAAAAACAACAACATATTCTGAAAATGCTTTGAGTTTTTTTATTGTTTCATGAAATTTATTCTATTAGTTTACAACTATATGATGGGTAATAAATCGAATGCAATAAAAATATCTACATTATTAAGTTCCAACGAACTGGACTTTGTCACTGTTTCTATAGTTTATTTTTCATTAATCTAGAAAGATTTTTTTTTCTAAGAAAAGACGATTGTATACTTTGATAGAATTTGAACGTGTTTGTCATGCCGTATAGCATTACGAGGCGATGTGTAATTTGACGAGTCATTTATTCTGTCTTACTAAAATTTCCTCGATCAGTTAATGTCGAACACTAGTTTAGTGCTAGTGGTTTAATGGCCAATTCCAGACATACTCAATTCAATCCATAATAAATAAACAACGCATTGTTTATTCGTTTAGTGAAAAAAATAAATAATAGTTATTCATGTTCATTTCATTATATATTTTTGTTCTTTGCTTTTTCGAATCTAATTATACGTATTAAATGTACTTTATTGATCGTATGAAATTAAAGAAATAGTAATTATTACATGTGGTTGAAAACTGCACAGAAAACACATTTGGCGAAGTAGTAACAAAATAATTTTTCAAATCGTTTCGTGGTTCACCGGCATGATTCTGCATTTCTTACTAGGTGGTTTTTTTTAGATGATGACAGAACCAATGATTATGCTGTTGAATAATCAATCTTTGATAGAGAACCATCTAAAACATACTATCATCTCTGTTGAACATCGACTTAAATTCTACAGGTACAAACGATTCAGTGAACGTATATGAGTGAGAGTTCTATCATGTTTTTTATAATTGAAAATGTTCTTTTACGAATTTTATTTTTATTTTTTTACATCAATTCTTTGTTGAGGACTGGAAATTGATATATCTATGAGAAAAATGTGCTTTTGATAGAAAATAAGTCATGTCTAATTTCTCTATAGAAAGTCTCTACTGTGACACGATCTAAAAGTAGTGTTAAAGTATAGGGAAAACAATTTAGACTCTTGCAGATTGCGCAGACGTTTTTGATATACAATCAAAGACAGTACATCAATAGCGTCTCCTTATAAAATATGAATTAGTTCTTTATTGCATTTCTCCAAGATTAAGTAAAAGAATGGCGAGAAAATGTCTCCCAAAATAGATAGAGTAAAACAATCTTCATGTGATTATCAACAGCAGCTTCATCGTGTTTCACATTTTTATTTCACATGAATTGTGCTAACGGCTTTTAGTCATTAATAAATTGTACGTGAATGCTAAATGATGGAATATGAAAGAGAAGGCTTATATGCTGTAAACGATTGTCAATGGAAAAAGTGAACTAGAAAATTCGTTGCCTAAAATAATTAGGAAAAAGCAATGAGATATTTCCGTGAACTCTTGATACTCAACGTCGTCTCAACAGATATTCAATAATGAAATAATTTTCATAATAAATTTGGCATGATTGTTACTATTGTTCCAGTTGTAAATCTTTACAAAGAATATTATTTAAGAGACATCTCAGTGTATCTGTTCTACTCTTAGCCAACAACAAAACATTAAGATCATGCTTGATTAGCATAAATATACACTAATGAAATATAATCGATCATTGTCTCAATGTTTAAGTATTCATAAATCAAAAATAAGTATTTCACGTCTATTTTGAAGGTCGAACTACGTTTGAAATGTTTAGTGACTATCCGTTCATGCCAATTTTAAACTTTGATACTTTCGATGAAATTTTCAAACCTGAACTCGGACCTGATCGAATTCGAGGCCAACCTGACGAACTCTATTTGAGAGATGAGACTAGTTTTCTGAGGATGGTGAATTTTTAATAGATGTCGCTCAGCAACACATCACTGTAGTCTGATATCTACTGTTGAAAAACTGCAATACTTTGTTTTGTTGTCGGTTTTATGTTTAGAAAAAATTGTTACTTGCAATTAGAGAAATAATGCATATTAACAATTTATTCTTTCCTATAAAGGTTTTCATATCGTTTCTGATTGGTTGATCTATTAATCTCTTTTGTTTCCTTTTAGTTCAATCATTTATTCAGTTTGATCATTCGTCATACAGAATTTCATTTTTTGTCCTGTGTATTTTTCAATCACTTTTTTCTTCTCTTATCATGACAAGTACACCTGGTCGAAGTCCTGGTTCTTGTCGTGGTTATACAAATGAACAAAAAACTTTACGTGCTAAACTTGATTTAATTATTAAATGGGGACGTGATTTAAAAAGTAATATTATGAAACAATCATGTAAAGCTTTACAAATAACTAATACAAATACACGTGAAACAATTGATCAAATTCATGATGATTTAGATGATTATAAACGTAAATTAGATCGTGAACTTGGTCTTATTCATGATATATGTGATGCATTAGTCATAGATAATCAATTAACAAATGGTGATGAAGAAAATCTTCATGATGAAATTCTCGAAGCATTACGTCGTTCACCAACATATACATCACTTGAACAACATATTTTTGATGATCAACGACCACGTATTCGTGTTAAACCACGTGCAAGAATTCATCCAATATAGAGAAAATAAATTAAAAAAACTTTATATGGTTTTTCTATAGAATTCAACTGCACCATCATCATCTCAACAACAAAATACGGAAGATGATGATAGTCAAATAATTGAAGATAGTGATGATGAAATTATTGCTTTAAGTGATGAAGATACTCCAGGACGGTCGAATAGTTCACCAAAAAAAGTTGTATGGACTTCATCAGAAATTCAAATAACAAGTGGTAATTCTCAGTCACAATCATTACATAATCCTTATCGTATTGGTATTGCTGATCCGAGTATACGATCAATATTTTTACCACCACCAAATTCTCAAACAATGTCAACATCAAGTGGAGGAAGTAAGCGTTCGCAAAGTTCTAATCGAAAAATTTCACCAACAAAACGAACGACTGGAACTAAATAAGCACTATTATTATTATTATTATTATTTTGTAATTATTCTTCGTATTCAGATATTTAAAAACTTAGTTTTTTTTTGTTTTTGTAAAACAAACTATTCTTCTCAGGTTCATTAACTTTTGTTTATATCACATGTTTTTTTTTGTTTTTGATATATAGAGCTTATGCATTAGTGGGTATTGCTTAAAATAGTGAGAATAAATTATGACAACGATGAATGAATATATTTCTTGATGGATTAGCTAGTAAGAAATGAAATTTCGTTATACACTACCAAAAATCAGCATAATATCTTGCAACTGGGTCGGACATCCGGCGCAAATTATAGGTTCGAGTTCGGGATTGGACATCATACCTGAATCTGACTCGACAATCAATGAAATTTCAAGTTTTCAGAAAAGTTTTACCTTTTCAAACTGCTAATTTAAATAAAAGCAAACAAGTGAAAATCGATATTATTTTACTAAAAAAATTCGTGCTTAATGAAAAGTAACTGAATAAATCAAGACGAAAATAAATTATCAAAAAAGTAAACAATGTATTATCGTGATGAAAAAAAACATTTGTGCATGGCATGATCAAACGTTATGGAATTTCATCCTTTTCCCGAAAATCATAGTTTGGACCAGAATAAAAGCAACGAGATATTAATCCCCAGCATCGCATTCTACGTCAAATAATGTATTTTTCAACGCGAGAAAAATAAAAGTTGAAGTGAAATGCAAAAGGCTTAATGATCTAAAAACCGAGTACAATTTAGATACTAATGAAATTCCGTAACACAGTGTTTCTAAAAAATCGAATGCGAATATTAAATCAAACTACTCAAAAAAAAAATTAGCAAAATATACTATAAGTGTTCATTTCCAAGTTCAAACCCTGCTCATGTATGAGTGACCGATAATAGGTCATGTCGTGTATGTATACTTGGCGAAATGAATCCGATTTTAGAAGCTACAAGACACTAAATAAATCCTGAATCACTTATTTTTTCTGTTTATGTTTATGGAAGAAACTGAATAGTATACTTTTTTATATAAAATAAAAGTGTGAAAACCGTATTACGACTATGAAGTCATGCTCTGCATGTCAGTTAGTTTCGAATTCGATGAATCAAATAAAGCAACGATCGAGGTGAAATAATGCAATCTGCAGTCACTTTACAAAAGAAAAAATGGAGTATCTCAGTCAACTTTTGATTTAATGATATCATATATTAATAACTAAGAAAGAATTATTCATAGTTCATAATTGTAAAGAAAATATTAATAGAACTGCTTTGAAGTATTTCAATAAAGATCTAAAAGCCTTGCACAATCTATAAAAATAAGAATATATACATTTATTTCTTAACTAAAAATAGCAAGACTTAATTGAAAAAACTAAACATGCGTTATATAGTCGATCTTGATATACAGTTAACCATCATAGAAGAATTCAAATTGAATGAAAAATCATAGCAGGCTAAGTGTTACAACGAATTTTGGTTATATCTACACAAGAGTACATGTTATATGTTGGCAGTTGTTATTTTCAATAAGTTCTTCGTATATATGGTTGAAACTTTAAGTAACAAGATATGTATGTGTATTAGAAATAGGAGATCAAACATCGAAAGTGTAGAGTTCATCGAAAGAAAAACTACATGCCTTGTTATTTTTATAAATTGTGCAAGTCTATAGTTTCTTATTTAAGTGCTTCAAAACAATTCTTATTAACGTGTTCTTTATAATTTTGAGTTATAAATACTTCGTTGTTTAATTTGTTTTCTTGATAAAATATTTAATAAAGATACGAATGAAATATCGAAGTAATATTTAAAAAAACTACGGAAGAGGATGTGTTTTGAATTCATATTGTAATTGTTAAAAGATATAAAGGGTGTTCCAGATATTCTGAAACGATTTTAAGAATTCACCGTTCTCACATTCTACAAAAGCAAATTCGCTGAAACTTTGGTAGATTGTTGTACATATGTGGCACTACATAACTGCAAAGCTTCAGGTCTATTGCTTGTACTATGGGTGAGAGCCTAGAACAACACTGTCATGTACTATTTTCGAAATTTTCCTGTATTCTGGGTCTGTCAAAATGTCTATATCTCGGCTTAGGTAGATGATAAAATCTTGAATTTTTTCTTAAAAGATGCGCCGTGAAAAGCTCTACAAAAATTGTAATAACAAATCCCTATTGACTTGTGTTCATACTCAAAATGAAAAAGCTACATGATAGTACGACTTCTCACCATACTGTAAGTAATAAAAAAAGGTTTGCAAGACCTTTTTGTTTTGCATGTATCTCAGCTTGAGAAAATGATAAAACCTTGATTTTTTTTCAAAAGATGCGCCGTAGAAAGCTCTACAAAAGCTGTATAAACAAATTCCTATTGGAAAACAAAAAAGTCTTCCAAACCTTTTTTTATTATGGTGAGAAGTCGTACTATCGTGTAGCTTTTTCATTTTGAGTATGAACACAAGTCAATAGGGATTTGTTATTACAATTTTTGTAGAGCTTTTCACGGCGCATCTTTTAAGAAAAAATTCAAGATTTTATCATCTATCCAGCCCGAGGTATAAATGAAATAAAAAAAATGCTGCACATCCCGAAGATGATCAGGAAAATTTAAAAAATAGTACATGTCAGTGTTGTTCTAGGCTCTCATCCATAGTACAAGCTATAGACCTGAAACTTTGCAGTTATGTAGTGCCACATATGTACAACAATCTACCAAAGTTTCAGCGAATTTGCTTTTGTAGAATGCGAGAACGGTGAATTCTTAAAATCGTTTCAGAATATCTGGAACACCCTTTATAATGTAAGACTGCTCAATCCGATACGAAAAGTTCTAATTGAGAGATATAATTTCTTTTGTTTGATTAAAAAAGAAGCTCTATACGATGAAAAAGTAAAATATTGTAATGATGCTTGTAGACCTAATGAGACATCTCAGAAATAAGTCTATTTTTTTATTAATAAATGGTCATTTGGTATTAATACATTTCCAAGATCAAATGGAAATGGTAATAACATGACACGATGCGTGCGAAAAAGAGGTTCAAGAATGTCAATTACCACCCGTCGAGCAGTGAATGTGTTAGTCTCCTTCCCATACAAAAGAGTCTGCTTTCGTCAAGATTATCGCATTTAAGAGAAATATAGTCGAGCATATTTTGATGTCGAACCTTTAAGAAGCAACATGTTTTTTTTAATTTAGCGCGTCACTTTTTCTTGAAAGATGTATAGCTTAGTAACTGTCAGAGCTCGTTTTTTTAATTAAGCTCTTTTATAATTCCAGAAGATAGAATTTCTGTAAGTAGATGATCATTTCTTTGACAGGCTTTTGGAAGTATTGAACCTGTCATCTATTTTCTAGACATGAAAATTAAGAATTTAAAAAAGTGAATAGATTAGACATTGTAGTCTCACATACTCTTGTAAATAAAAAAAAATTAAATATATAGTATGAGAGCGCAAATAGAATTTTCGGTCGCCAAATGAGCTAATTTTTATCTTTGTTTGTTGCGAAACTCTCGAAAACGTTATGTTATAGGGCTGAGAATTTTACATACGATTTGAATATACTTGGTTCAAGATCGATTTTTGAGTGCGAGAGCTTTTGTCAGAGATTTGAAAACTTATAGTTCATCACGTTTTGTGAGATTAATACTAATGAAATTAAAATTTGAGAAATCTATCGAATACCATTTTCTAGTAGTTTCTATGTGTATTTTAATATGTAACACTAAGTAAAATTAATGTTTAGAGAAGTGAAGCTATAGGCTGACAAAAATCAAAGTGTTGCTTTTGTTATTTCTTTCATTCTTATTTCTTTAATCCTATTTATATTTCATTTTTCTAATGGTTTAGATTGATTTCTATAAAACTGTCTCATGGGACTAATTACACATCTATACATTTAAAGCTAAATCAACATTAACGTGAAATGACATTTTCTTGCATATGTTTATTTCAATTATCTTATTAACTAAAAATGTACTGCGTTGAATTTGAAAATTAAGTCAACAAGAAGCTAAAAGAACAGAAGTGCTAATCAATGCTTTTTTTTTATAAATGATAACTGAGTAATTAATATTTATTCTGTGTTAGTATTTTTTATTAGAATAACCTTAGTTCTTTTTCTCTTGTTTATGTATAGTTAGATAGAGCGTGACAAGTTGATCAAAAATACGTGCCTTTTCAATTTTTTGAAATGATTTTTTAGAAGAAAAATGTCGGTTTTTTCCGATGACCGAATTTGTTTCAGATTTGGCATGAAAAATTGAATCTAGGAAACTCATGTTATATCTGAAACAAACTAATTTGAAATTTAAAAGAAATGGAAAAAGGAACCTGTTTCTCAGAAAACGTAGGTCGTCTGAAAAAACTAAAATTTTTCCCATAAAAAGTCACTGCAACAAAAAACTAGAGATCCGCATATATTCTTGATTAGCTTCATTATGCTCTGTCTAACCAAATGTAAAGAAAAGAAAAGAGAAAAAAAGTCTTTTGCTTTAGTTTTGCATTTATGGCATCTTAAAGCAGAGACAAGAACTATTTTCAGTCTCACATCTAAAATTATATGAAGTATTGCATTCTTCGACTAAATTTTAATGAATTGTTGAGATATCATTGATTTTGATAAGTTGGTCTCATATTACCGAAGTCAAAATAGCTTTTAACTTTGGTAAGTAAAATATGTTATTTGAATACTTGAGATATTTATGCAGGACGCCTACAGTAAAATGAAATGGATGTAATAAGACGGTGAAGAATTGATAAAAAATATTAACTGCGACTCAATAATTCGAATACTTCCTATTGAAACAATTCAGTGAAGATTAATATATAACGTATGGAAGTAAGCATGAAAAATAACTAGTGGACAAAATGTACTAAGATCAATGTTAGAGGAAAGTTTTAGGAAATGACGAGAAACTTAGTTCATTTAATCGTTATTATATTCGCTTGAATTCATCTTTTCAATAAAGAAGTCAGTCGAATGATTGTTTCGCATCATTTTTTGTAATAGATTTTGCAGTATAGATTGTTTTTCAAATCACTTGAACTCCAATTATCATGAATGTTTGTTCTAGACTGCTACAACTTCAAAATATAGATGATTTTCATTCTCTCTCTCTCTCTCATGCGACATCACACATTATTAGTAACAGTTTTCTTTTATCACGAATTATATTTTAATAATAACGTATAAAGTCGTTAGTTGATTGATGTAACGCTCACAGATCAAGTAGTTTTATCATGCTTCAAATTTAAATTCAGATTTTCCTATAGCAAAAAAAGAACATAAGCTTTGTTTTATAAACTTAAAAAGTCATTTTTCATCCCATACTATTAAATTTCTAGGTAAAAACATCCATTTTCATTTGTGAAAAATAAATGTCATTAGATATACGCTTCAAATAATTCTCTATTATGTATTTTTGTTTTTTTGCACAGCGTATAAACATAAAAATGTGTTTTTCAACGTTCTTTTCTTCAATAATTTTTTGCACACGATAATTTATGAGAAAAAAGATGACACTTTATCTACAGTAGTACATTTGATCGACTAAGATTTTTTTGAGATATCTATTCTTAGTATGATAAAATGGCTAACGATCATACCAGTTCAAGCACTAATATTGGTTATCCTTATTCTGTTGATTTAATACCACCTATTGTAAAATTTTGGCTTTATCTAATTTTTCTTATTCCATCAATTATTTGTGCCTTATTTGTTCTGTATCATCTTCTTTGTGATCAAATTCTTCGTCGATCTCTTAATAATCATGTTATTATTGTTTTACTTATAACTGTTGTTATTTGTCAAGTAACAATGTATCCATGGATGCTTTATTTTTACTATCATATTAATACTTGGTCAAGATCATTTGTCTATTGTCTCATTTGGGGATTTATTGATTGGGCAATTTATTTATTACAATTGTTACTTTTTTCTTGGGCTTCAATTGAAAGACATATACTTATTTTTCATGATAAATGGGTGTCAACGAAAAAGAAACGTTTCTTTGTACATTATCTTCCTTTAATTATTCTTATTATTTATTGGTTTATCTTCTATACTTTTGTTTATTTCTATCCTCCATGTGAAAATATTTTTGATAGTTCTCAAATGATCTGTGTGACAATTTGTTTATTTAACTCATTTTCATTTCGTACAGTGGAAATGCTTTTTCATTATATAATACCATGCTTCACTATTATTTTTCTTAGTATTACCTTAATTTTGCGAGTAATTTGGCAAAAACATCGCATACATCAACCGATTCTGTGGCGGAGACATCGAAAAATGACAATTCAACTACTATCCATTTCAGCTCTCTATCTTATTGTTACTGCTCCATGGGCAACAATAATCTTTTTGAGAATATGTGGCTTACCGTCTAGCATCGGTGAAGGTTTTGAAAATTTGACGTTCTTCATTAGCTATTATATCGTACTTTTCTTTCCCTTTGTTTCTGTTCTATCCTTGCCTGAACTTCGTACTAAATTTAAAAGAGCTCTACATTTACCAAGAGCAAGAAGAATTGTTGGACCAGAAACGTTCATTCGAACAGGTGTGAAAAATCAACAAGTACCTATGCAATAGACATTTGCTCAATAACTAATATATATATTCACTATTTTTAGTTTTGAAAATAAATATAATTCAATTTTGATGGTTAAATATAAAATTGCTTATTGTTTTTGTCACCTATTTATCAACACATGAAAAACTTTCTTGTCCACAACTAACGCATCCTATAGTTTGGCGAGTGCGTTCGAAGCCGGCAAAAATACGTTCCACATTTGAAGAAAAGTATTCTTTGTCGCTCCACGCTATCGTAGCATTCTACTCAATGGAGATTGCTTTCTTTGATGTTTTCTAGAGCAATATTTACTAGTGGATTCTTCGAAGAAATGAACGCTTTCCAGACGATCCAACATTACTGTTGGACAGAAAAACATGTGTTCTCCGTAGTTTTTCAAATTGCCTAATGTTTTCTCATGGATTAAAAATCAATTTTCGAAAAACAGAATGCATTGCAGATCATTTTATTTCACAAAATAAAGAAACAGATGAAGTTAGTTGAGAAAAAGCGAAAAAAGTTTTTTAATAATGGAGTTCATAGGGGAATAGAAAATATAAAACAACATGTTTAGGATATATTTTTAATTAATAGTTAAATGATCTCAAAAGTCTCTTTTTATGAAATATTCTGTCAAAAAAAGTTTCTTATTTTTTTTCTTTAATCCTATCTTTTTGTTTATCTTGTGGAAAATCAATTCACTATTTATCTTTATTTTCTTTTTGAAAAATTAAAATTTTATCTTTTTGTCGGTTTTTAAATAAAAAATCTAGTCGAACTTTTTTCTGTGCTTGTCATGCACAAACATGAAGATGTGTTCATGTCACATGTCTTTGTGTCTATAGACAAGCACTTTTAAGTGCTTGCATGAGTTATGTGCACATTTAAAGCAACATATATGCTGAACTCATGAAAATCATACGAATGAGCACACTGGAAATAATCAACTGGAATAAAATACTAAAAGCTTTTCTGCTCAAGATGAAAGAATGCCATTGTCATTGAGGATGTGCGAATCTAGTTACTCATATAGATTCCATTTTCGATTTGCCTGTTAGAGACTTCGCTATTTAAACTAGAAATTTTTATTATGCGCCGAATCGTTTTGAATATAAAACTGAAGAAAAGAACGAAAAACACGTTTAAAATATAATTAAAATTAGTGTCATGCATAACATATATTGTTTTCATAGTTGTGAAAGATGACCGAATTCAATGATTTATTAATATTGCTAGTCTTGAATTTAAAATATTGAAAACTATTTAAATAAATGCAAATTTAAGGAATGATTGAAGAAGAATCTCCAATCTTTACAATAATGAGTAAAGTAAAAGATATTCTATTATTTATAAATCATTCTTCACAATTACTTACAGTTAACCAAAAGTTTTGGCAACATTAAATAAAAATATAAAGATAAGTACCATTTAATACAAGCTTTCTTGATTTCTTTTGTAAAATTTTTTTAGCTACCTTGGAAACTGCACGATCTAATCATGTTTCATTTATTTAATCAGTTAAACTTCGTTCGATAGAATTACCTAACCAAAGATTGCTTAGTATTAGGTATGGCGGATGCGACCTTATATTGATGCTTCTCTCTGTTAAAAAAAATTAATAATATTGGATGAGTATGAAGTCAACAATGATCGTCAAACGATTTTGAACATGACGTCTTTGTCTGTTTTCGTATTACGTTAAAAAAAGCCTTCTCACAATTTTCAATATAATACTTGAGACCTACAGTCTTGCCTTTATCTACGCTGTCTCCATGAACAATAGTTTTTGACGATTGATCTTCAATACTAACCTATTTAAAATAAATCCGTATCTCATCAGTAGTAATGTTAGAACGCAAATGACATGATCTAACAAAATTTCGGTAACTTTCAAAATAAATGAAACATGATTAGCTCATGTGGTTTTCAAAGCAGCTAAAGTTTGTTTTAGAAAAAGAATTTAAAAAAACTTGTAATAAATGGTATTTATCTTAATATTTGTATTTAATGTTGTCAGAACTTTTGGTTAACACTAAGTAATTGATAAAATATATATGAAATTAAAGGGTGTTGGTATGAGTATGGGTCAAGAGAGATCTACGTCCACACCCAAAATATGTTATTATCAGACACAAAAACAGAAAGAATATTTTACTTGTTCGTTATCTTCGTTTATTATGTGCTTTTTTTTTGCAAGAAAAACATTTTTACTCGGGTCGATATTCATTCATCAAAGGCTCTGTGGCTACGATACAAAATGAATTGTATGTCTCATGTTGGTTGTAATGAATCGTGGCAAAGAGTGGAGAAATCTGTCGTATATGATCCACCTCTGTAATTATTTCATTTTTTCTAATCACAACATTGAATCGACATTGAAAATGTTTGAGACGAGGCGTACGTTCGGCGAACATATAGGATAAACCAAAAAAATCGATTGCTGAGAGAGCACGTGTACAACGTACAGCCAGATGAGTTAAGACGGGTGTAAACCAAAGTACTTTTTCAAGATCATTGATGACATGATAGTATTCGTCTAGTACAACATTGAGATGGCGTAAAGTCATGTGTCGAAACGATGTTGCGTCAGAAATAGGTGGAGTAAGATAAAATATCGTAGTGGTAAATTGACATAAAGCTGGTAATGCTGCCAATAAATCAGGCCAATGCTGCAATTCACCTGAAACATATCCAAGAAAACATATAGTATTTGTTCTGATTGAATTTCATCTTCTCATATGCAGATCTTCAGTCAAACGACAACTTACATGATCCGATAAAGAGTGAATAGAGACGTTTGTTTTCGACGACATAATGTTTGAGACGAAGATCAGCACCATCTTGGCGAACCGAGTGAAGTTGTGTAAAACGATTTGATATAAGCAAACGATAGAAGTCATCAATATGATCATATTTCAATGGAGTAGCAAACTTAATTGAAAGCATTCTCAAATCGGGTAAATGTTCCGGTTGAATGGTCCTAAAATAATTTCAACCATTTCTATTGAATCGCAATCTAATAGACAACCATAACTATTACAAAACTTTTTGAAGTTTTCTAGTGATTAAAATGTCTGAAATGTTCCCTATCTACACTGAACATATTTTGAAATTTGAAAATCTATCATTCAAGGTTAAAACCAAAATGAATAATATTGTTCTCTCATTCTTTTTTCTACAAAAAGTATTTCTGTAGGTTAACGACCGTTGAAGGCTTCGTAAACTATTTATCTACGAAATTTTCGCAGAAGAATCATCGTAATTTGATTTGAGTCTGAACTTGTGAAATTCAGCATAGTTGAGAATCGAGACGTTCAATTTTGTTTTAAATTTATCTTAAAATAAAATTTTGAACGAAAATTTAACTTTTCCTTTTCAACAAATCCACAAGATGTCAATCTGCATATTGTATCATTTTAACCTTTTCCATTCTCTATGTTTCTGAAAGAAGCACCAGATATTGATTTTGTCTAAAACAAACATTTTCTCTATGAATACTTATCTACGATAGTTCAGAGATGGGTGGGGTATTCTTAAACCGATAGGAAAGCAAATACACCGTTACTGGCAGATCGACTGACTTGATAACATCTCGATATGTCAAATTGCTTTTAGACCAAGAAAATACTCATGTGATGAGTGTTAGTGAGCAAACAAAAATTGATTTTCCAATAGACTCGAGGAGAACATAGTTTTTTTTCTCAAACAAAAACAAAAATTAAAATTTCGATATTTCAAGAACGAAAGCCTGAAAAACCAAACCGTTCTAGACTTTTCAATTGCTCACTAACACTCGTCAAAAGAGCAAGGTTCCGATCCAAAAGCAATTCGAAACCTCTAGAGATTCTTTCATGAGATTAATTAAAAACCGAAGAATAAAATAGGGTCCTTTGTGCGGTCAATCACATATAAAAATGTGGCGCTATTAGAAACAACTCGTCAATTGAAAACAAATCATCATATGACATCGAACACTGAAGTTTCGAAGTCGAATTTTGTCTGAGAAAGTTCAATGAACTGCCAAAACAAGCTAATTTTTTCTAGATTTCTCAATTTCAATCGAATCTGACTCAGTATGTTTGAGACAATTCCGTAAAAAGCATTGTACATGCGTAAGATACTTACATCAATTGATCGAATGTTGGTCTCAAAAAATAGAGCGATTGAAGATGTCGAAATTGTGTCAAATCAAGTTGGTGGCACCAGAGAGCAATGTGAAGTGAGACGATTTGTAAAGCAAAATGTCGAATAGCAGTGATCAACAGCTGATTGCGATCCTCGAACGTTTTGACTATGACACAAAGTCGTACTGATGCAAGAATCGAATTGAGTCTTTGATTGATATTGTGAAAACCATGATAGAGAGTCTGAACGGGAACATAAGCGAAAATGGCGAGAAAAAGCTCGTCTGGAAGATCTTCGAGACGAGAGATCGAACACAGAAACGAGTCATTCATTGCGATATAAACAATCTGAAATAATAAAATCAATTTTTTTCATCTTATTGTTCTGAGATCGTGTTCTGTTCATATTAATAAAGTCTGTTTAGACGAAAAATAGCTGTAGTAATCACTAGATCATTTTTACATATCAGAAATAAATCAAGAGTGAATAACGAAGTAGTTTTCTTACTTCTCTTTGTGTTCTTTGTAATGATCAGATGGAACTTGTTTGTCTCGCTTATTTGTTTTTTTTTATAACCGCCGACCATGGGTTCATTCTTATTGGTCAATTCATTGGCAATTGATGTTATTAGGAACAACTGTCGCTATACGCAAGTTATTTCGTTTTTCCATATCGTAGATACGAACATTGAGTACTATTCTTATGTTCTATCGAACTTGTTAATACTCAACAGAAATTTTGAGAATAATCAGTTGGATATGTATTTATATGCTCAATTCATTGTCAGTCGAGTAGAAACATAAGATAGTACATAATGCAAAACATAACATTTCATATAAATCAAGACAGCATAAAATATTCGTTTGTCTGTAATTCTCAAGTGTCTGATGTTTACATTAGATGTAAAGCCCTAGAGATAGACAAGTCTACTTGTTTTTATCTGTATTTGAGGACATAAATGTATAATGCGATCGATGTTGTAAAGAAAGTGTGTTGATTACTATGCCGTCGGACATTTTTCAAGATATCTTCGAATACCAATGTGTAATTTATCAACTGTCGAAAAACAATAACGACCACATCGAAGAAAGAAAATCGAATGCATACTTCGTTATTGCACTACTCTAGTGGAAGAACTCGTTGTGAATCCAGAGAACAAGTTCACTCGTCCATCTGGTAAGTTCTGCAACGCTTTAGCAAACCAGAATATTAAAATAACGGTATAATGCAAAAAGAGTGAGTCAACTATGAATATCATATGTATTTCATTTGATTTTTCAGTGCTGAAACTTGAATCAGTTCTTGAACAATCCTTGATCGAGTGACTGCATAAAAAGCTAAAAACACAATTTTTCAGCTCAGAAAATCCCTGTAAGTTCAGTGAATACTTCTTTGTCATGCTAGAAAAATTCAGTTGAAGAATTAGTTTTATATGTAAGGCTTCTTTCTTTGAATTCATAGAAATTTTTATTAGATTCCGTTAAATTATTAATTGGATACATAGGCATATTTCTTTTGTTTTCTATCATTTCGGTGTAAACCAACNATTATTCCAATGAAAACGGTTCATCAATTAATTCTTCATCAATTATGAATGATATTCAACCATTTCATCATCGTATATATCAATCTTTTTTTTTATTTCAACATATGATTAACTATTAATTAACCATAAACAAACTATATAAATACATCACAATAGACGAATATTTAAAATTAAGTCTGAATATCATTTCTTAATCATGTTTCATTGTAGAAACATTCGACAAGGTCAACATGAATTTGGCTTCTTAGGCTCTTGAGTAAATTGACGTCAATAATGATATGAAAGACTTTAACAAACAGTGTATATAACTGAGACAAGCGACCATGCAGTAAATAAAGATAATAATTGAAACGATAAACATTAATATGTAATTCTACTAGAGTTGAAGAAAAAAAAACGTTCGAGATTGATGATCAAATGATGCACGTGCCACGTTATAATCATATAATCGATAGAATTTTAGGTGGGAAAGATTGATAAACAGAAGGAAAATATTCGAAAAAAAAAATTGCGAATAGATACATTGCAGAAAAATAATAAGATGTAACTTTTCTGCTACTAGCACATAATATTACAATCTGTTTTTGGAAGATGTGAACTAAACGAGATTTATCTAAACATAAAAATACAACTATTGAAAAAGGAAACACTTGGTTAAAGAAATAAATTGATCAACATTTTTAGCTTCGAAAAATCATTTTTTTTTTCATAGTTTTAAATATAATGAAGACTTAGATAGTAAGAGTTTCACAATATTCTTTTTCTATTGTGTCAGTAAAACAGGCGACAACCGACTAATAATACGACATTCAACAATGTTGTTCTTCCCTTATTCTCAAGTTTCGTAGTGCATTTCTGTAGTTTAATTTTTTCACTAGTAAACATCTTGAAACAACTCATTCTTGACAAACGAATCTCTTCTTCTATTGTTGCATACTATCTAATAGCTTGTGTTTGTCAATATTTGTGTAATCATTCTTTTTTTTGTATGAAAATTTCTTCTAGGTATTTCATTCTGATTCACATTCAGAATTACATATATGGTATATTATAAAAAAGAGGATGGTATCATGTACAGAATGACATGAATCAATTATTAAAATTAATTAATTTCAATTTATCATTTAATAATAATTAAAATATTCAAAGTCAAATATCAAGTTGATCTAAATTTGATTAGTAAAATAGTATCACGTATAATATGATCCAATTGCATATTAGTATTCCACTAAAAGAATAAAGCATTTCATCATTCCTTAATTTCTTGAAAATAATCATTAGTAATTGGTCGAAATCGACTACAAATAGTGAATCTATTCCTGATGGTATATGCTAAATTCTGTTCGTTTTATTTAGAATAAACGATAAATAAGAAAAAACTATTGACGGAGATATTTATTCTTTTATTAAAAAAACAAAACATTTTTTTAATTTTGTTTTATCACCGTATTCTCTTAATATTATGTCGTAGTTTTGTTTTTGTAATATCGATTTTATTCTTGAGATCCGTAAAGAATAAATTATTTTAGTTAAATATGTTTAAGACGTAAATAATCACATACTTCAAATGATCAAGAATATGTTCTTGTAGGTATAATGTAACCTTACAAGATTGACGAGGGAATGTGAAAATATCCTTTAAAGAAAACTAAAACATTAATTTACTTCTAATGATTTGAAAACAAGGTACTTCGATATAAATTATGTATTGAACATAATTGCATTGAATGAGAAACTGAATTTCTAAAAGAACCTTTTGTAATATGAATTATTGCAAGTTGTTTTGTTTGATCGAAATGTTCGATTAACAATTATTTCTATTGACAAAAATTATTTGGAAAATACGATTTAAAGAGAATTGTTCTTTATTTGATGATCGATCAATGCACGATAATTTTTATTTTCGAAGTGCGAGTGGGTGAATAATGTTAGTAAATTTTGTTGTATTTCAATAATACTTTCATATTTATTAACAACATCAGAGAAATCAAGCATTTTACTAGCCATATATCTAAAAATATTATATTATTTATACAATGTAAATATGAACGTTCGAATATTAAAAAAAAAATAAATGAATGAAAATAACAATAAATTGTCTTTTGTTTTACTTTAAAAATCATACTTTTTTCAGCATTTTGGACCTTCTCTTCCCTTCATGTCATCAAACGTGATATTTTCGAAACTTCTCTCCATGATTACATGATTTATGAGACTATTTCTCTCTTTCCAGAAAACGTTTTCGGTAAATATTCTCCAAGTGATAGTAATTTTAGTAATTTACTACAATACATACTAAGTATATGTGTAGGATTGTCACAGTGCATGATAATAATTAGATGTTGAAAGACTTAAGTCGTTGTTTTGATAATTTATGTCCAATTATATGCGTTTTTCAAAATGCAGACGTCGCAATTTCTCGTTTCATCGTTGCATATGTATTTATCTCTTGTGAATAGCATCATAGAAGATATCTGATAAAGATGTCACTCACTCTCTTTCTCATGTGAGCAAAAAGCCATAGTTGACAATCAGAAGAGAGAATGTAAATTTATGTACATAGTATAGACATCTTCGCTTATGGTATTGACATGTAGTTTCAAACAGAATAAACTTCTTGTTTTTCTTGTAGAGCTCGAGATTGGTTATAAACCCATTCGACAGTTTGAAACAACTTTCATTTATTGATTTTTAACATTGATGATTGTTCTGTTCTTTGCCATATTTATTTTCTACAGACGAAATATCATACACACTGGCATTGACAAAGCATGTTGTTTCACAAGTATTTTTTTTTTCTTTAGTCTTTTTCTCCTCTTGAAGTGTCGCCCGTTAGAAATAGAGAAAAGTAATGCTAAAATGTAACTACAGACATTAGACGTCGCTCGGCATATTTTTTCTTCGTCATTCTTGCTTTATTATGGGTCACAACAAAATAATCATTTTGTTGTCAGGTAAAAGAATAAAAACTTGTGTCGTAACTCTTGTTTCGAAATTTTATAAATTATATGACCATGCACACGAACACCAGTGACTAAAGCCATCAAAACTTATACTAATTGTTTCATTTATTTAGCCAGCAATATTCTTCTGAACTCGACAACATCGAAAAACGCTATTTCATTAAATAAATAAGCTTTGGTCAAGAAAAGATTGAAAAGATATTGTTGAATCAAGTTGATCGATCGAAAAAAAAACTTTTTTCAAATATTGAATCAACAGGTGAAGAAACTCAAATTGCAGTACGACGACTCGCGAAAGAATAGAATAGTCTGCTGACGTTTCTACGAAGTAAACTCTCGAATATACTTCACTCGACACCTAAATCTATTCACTGTACACGATCTGGTATTGAACGATTAAGAAACCTACTTCAACCCTGATAAGAAATTGACGAAACAAATCGCAATCAAAATAGTTTCAGCTAACTTCCAATCTCTTGATTTCATCAAACCTCCAAAGAAGCACTTATGGCTTCGAAAAAACCAGACACTCATTTACCAAGAAATTCAGATATATCTGCGGAAGCACCAACACGAAATATTGGATCCAGCGACTCATCAACAAACAATGATATTGTCACACGTACACCAAAACTATCATTCAACATGCCTGCAGACTCATCATCACAAATGTGCTCATATCCCGTTATGGCGTTTGGTCTTCATCGTTCCAAGGATCCGAAAATACCACAGCTATTCAAACATCTAATGTCTCTTCCTCCTATGGATAAAAATGGATCAATGAGTGGTAAATGTGATTTTGAAACCACTCAAATGGAAAAATTTCTTTCACAAGCATTCGGTTTTCAAAATATTCCTGGACAATATATTGTTCAAGGTGTCAAAGCGTTTCAATTAAACAGATCGCTATATTCAATGAATCCGAGTATTGTAATTTATTTTCCCAGCAAGACTGCTACTGAGTCATTTGCGATGAGTGTGCAAGAAATTCTCGATTGTCAACAATCATATAAAGTTTATGCTGACAAAACTATTAAGGGTATGAATGAAGAATTTCTTCAACGAGTACTACAAGGGCAGAGTAAATATGGAGAAGAAGCATTTCTCATGAAATTTGTTGTTCGAATTTCAAAATGTCCTATCTTGATGGAATTTGATGCTCGCATAATACCTCGTGCACCACAAGAAGAATGGTCACACCGAATTAAATTAGTTTCAGTAACTGGTGTTGATTTTGCTGGGCGGATACATGATGTAGATGATATTCATACCTATGTAACGAATTGGCAAGATATTTATGAGATCGATCGAAATTCGGGTTTACCACTAGTTTATAATAGAAGAGATTTTCATCGGAGAGCTAATGGTCCACGAGGAAAACTAAACACAGATCGTCTTCAAAAAGATTTAATGCGAATGGCAAGACTTCGACTACGAGCATGTGATTATGAAGAAGTACAAGTTGTAGTCGAAACAGGTATTGGACTTGGTGTATTTGCTGGTACAGCTATTGGAATCGATGAAACAGTGCGAGCACTTTCTGCATTTGCTATTGGAAAAGTACTTGAAGAAGATGGGCCAACTTATCGAAACATACAAGCCGTTGTATTCGCTCTACCTATTTTCGTTGGAAGCTATCGAAATGATAAAAGACAAGATACGTATCAAGTCTTTGTCGATGAATTCAATCGAAACAATTACAACGGCCATATTCCTGTATTAATTGCTGATCAAGATATGCATCGATTAACTGTCGCGATTGCTCGTATGGGCTTCAACGTTTCTGAGTTGAATCCTGCTGATTCACATGGTGTATTTGGTGAATATTGGCAAAATCGAGGACCGGGCGTGGAAGAAAAAGTAGCTTTAACTACAATGGGTCTACTTGTACAACATCATGTTATTAATCCATGCGTGCTTGATCAAAACCATTACCATCTTATTTAATTGAAGGTGTCAAGAACAGCTCTTCATTTCAATATTATTGATGATAATGAAGGGATGCGCAATGGATATAGTCTGTATCAATAATTGCTTTTGTGACTCGAGAAATTCCTGTACCAATGTTCTCACCGGTAAGGAACCCGATGGGTCCTGTAGAGTACGTTAAAGAACTCCTTTTTGACCGGTGTAACACACTTTTCTTTTACCCAGTGGTTTTCATTTTTCGCATTTTTTTCAAAAAATAATCTTAAGAGTGTTTTTCAAAATTAAATAATTTCACTTATGTTTCAATTGATATTGGCATGAAGTTATGTGGTGAAAACAAAATCGAATAATTACTTTGCATTGTAAGTATCATAAAGGATACAGCTGAAAAAGATCGTAAATCTGTAATTTCCTTCAATCTAACGTTCAATAGAATAGAAGGATAGAGCATGAAATTCTGCGCATAAAGGGTGATTGAAAAGTTTTCGACCCTCTGTGTAAATTGTCGTTATGCATATGAATACATATATAGATAGTTGATTGAAATATACAGTTTTGTAGAGAATGAGAAGAGCTATCATCTGAAAAGAAAAGATTGAAATTATGTCATAGTTATGAAAAGTTATGATCATTTTATTCATGATGACTAAGCATTTAACACGTTACATTTTCTGCAAAAACAAAAAAAATCTGTAATGTTTGAGTCATTAAGGCCCAGTGAAACATTGTTTTTACTAAATATTTTTATATTATTTGATAGAGTTCGACAAGGTCTACAAGAATATGAATATCAAAAAAAATTCTGATCCTCTTTCCAATACAAAACTTGGAGAAAAACAGAAAGATTAATAAAAATCTGACATATCTTGCATTCGAGAGTATGTTTGACTGTCAATAACTCTAGCCGCTCGACTGTTGATTTATGTTTCGAGATGCAGTGTCACATACTGAAGCTGAAAATAACCTTTCCGAGCTTCATGAACAGACGGAACAATCGATCAGCTAAAGTTATTGAAAGTTCAGCATACTCTCCATAATGCAACGTATATGAAATTCTTATTAGTCTTTCTGATTTTCTTCAAGTTTTGTATTGGAAACAGCATCAGAATTTTTTTGATATTCATATTCTTGCAGAGCTCGTCGAACTCTATCGAACCATATAAAAATACCTGAAAAACGATATTTCTCTTCAGACGTTACAAGCATATTTTGTTTTTGCAGAGAATGTAACGTGTTAAATACTTCCTCATCATGAATAAAATGATCATAACTTTTCATAATAACGACACAATTTCAACCTTGTTTTTTCAGATGATAGCTCTTCTCATTCTCTACAAAACTGTATATTTCAACCAACTATCTATATATGTATTCATATACATAACGACAATTTAAAGAGAGGGTCGAAAACTTTTGAATCATCCTTTATCTGTCTATTGTTTTCTTCTGTTGAATGGAGTACAAAATTTTCTAGGACTCAAAAGTCTTCAGGGGTCTATCAGATTTGAGCGTTCTCGACAATAACTATGGTGACCATAATTTTTCCGCTTGCGAACTCAATATGAAAACTAGTGTTATAGAACCTATGTTTTTTATGCTCTAACACGGTGATATATCGATCGCGCTCGTCGATTACTTTGTTGAGGGTTAGACAGGTATTATAACACATATTTATGAGTCTACATAATCTCAGGAAGATAGTAATAGTAAATATAATCACTATATCAATTTGTAGAGCATGAAAAGCTGCAGCAGTCTACGCTAGCAGCTTTCGTATTGGATTTATAATAGAAAAATTACGGGTATGATAGTTATAATTCGAAATGCCCAAAAGTGATACATCTCGAAAGACTATGTAAGGCTGAAAATTTCTTCTATTGACATTAAACAAAACAAAAAATAAATATACACAATTGCGTAGAGTTTCATGCTCTATCCTGCTATTCTATTGAAAGAGAGATTTAAGGTCGTGGCAGAACGTAATTCTGCATCTTATGATTTTGTTACTATTGATAATGAATATAACATAAACGAAAATCTATCTAGCTACAATCATCGGTATTTGACAATTAGAGCTGTCTTTCTACTATTGGCTGATTGTATGACACATGCTATGATTTTAGTCGTCGATTATTATTTGTTGTGTATGAATATGCACGTACAATGGTGACATCATCTAATATTTCTTGAATTTTTGTTTCATACACTATCTATTCAAGATAATATATGAAAGTTGTAACACCATTTGAACTAGATACAATCATTTATCGTAAGCTATATACATTTGCCTAAATATAAGCAACATGAAACAACTGTGACATTCAATAAAAAATTTTGATAAACAAAACAAATGGTGAAAGTCATAGGTTGTATATTTATAGTGTTCTCAGTCTATAAAAATGTTCAATCTGATTTTATGGTATTTCGTTCTCTATTTCTATCATATTTTGTTCGATAGTATTTGAAATAAGTTGTACTACTTATATTTATAATGGTTAATTAATAATTCTTCCATTGACAAAAAAGACCATTCTCATGACATTTAATTCTTTAAAGACGTAGTTAAATAATAATGACTTTTAAAAATCTATCGATGATGTCGAAAACCAAATTTCAAGTGTTCTTGTTCAATATGAAGTTCTAAAAGGCCAAATAAAATCATCTGGTCGACGTCAATTTCGAAATCGATTTCTTCGACTATAGGTATACGAATCGATCTAATAAATTGAGAGTTATAGCAGTGCTTCTTGTTGATTACGCATTTAAGTTATCACATTGTATGTTTCTTTATTTATGGAGTAAAGTTTGATAAGTTTAAATTTTTGTAAATAGCTCTTCCTGATAAAGTTACCGCAACAAATAAAACAATCATCAATGCTAAACTAGAAAAAGAAATTGAAACCAATAAACAAATAATTCGTCAACTCATGAAAAATGATAATCCATCAGTTACGTGTTGATATAAAGCAACTAATACGTAAATCTACTGTTGAGATGCGATATAAGCAAGAGTCATAGTATGCAATCAGAAGAGAAAATGTAATTGCATGCACATAGTGTAGACATGGTACCAACTCGTAGTTTCAACAAAATAAACTTTTTGTTTGTCTTCTAGGGCTCGAAGTCGACTATAAATCGATTCGATATTTTGAAACAAGTTTTACTGGCTTTTAGCATGAATGATTGTTCTGTTCTCTGTCATATTTATATTATACAGATATCGATAAAGCATTCTGTATAATAAGTATAGTTTTTTTTTTCTTCTTAATTTTTCTCCGCTTGAACTACCTTTGGTTAGAAAGAACGAGAAAAAATACCAAAATGAAAATGCGGACAGAAGAGGTCGCTTGGCATATTTTTTTTTCATTCTTTTGCCTTTTTAGGGGTCATAGGAAAAGAAAAAGTCGTGTCGTAACATTTGTTTTTAAATTTATAAGTTGTATAACCATGAGCACGAACAGCAGTGAGTATTAACTTCATTGTAGAAATAATATCCATGATCAAAGTCATCTTGAATTTGCGCTAATTATTTAGTTGATCATCGCCAGCAACTTTCTCGTCAATTGAACTATATTAAAAACCAGTGTGAAAATATTAAAAAAAAATCTACTCGGCAAGATATGAACAAGATGTCTTTTAATCAGATTGATCAATGGAAAAAAGAATCTATTGCAAATATTGAGTTCGAAGCTAAAAAAGCTCAAAATGAAATACAACGTTTAACAAAAGAATTGAATATTCGGCTCACCACTCTACTAAACAAACTCTCGAATGAACTTCACTTGAAGTCAAAATCTATTAACTGTACACAATCGGATATTGAACAACTGAGCAACCTACTTAAAGATTGTCATAAGGAATGGAGTGTATTAACCGGAATCAAAATAATTACAACTGATTTTTCATCTCTGGATCTGATCAAAATCGAAAACGAACCGATAGCTCCAAAAGAAACTGCGACATCTTTACGGAAAACCTCACGTAGTTCTAAAAGAAAACCAATAGGAAACAATGAGCTCAGTGGATCATCGATTAACATTGATTTGGGAATAAGCAGATCAAGATCATTCTCTCACATGCCTGCAGACTCATCATCACAAATGTGCTCATATCCCGTTATGGCGTTTGGTCTTGATCGTTCCAAGGATCCGAAAATACCACAGCTGTTCAAACATCTAATGTCTCTTCCTCCTATGGATAAAAATAGGTCAATGAGTGGCAACTGTAACTCTGAAACAAATCAAATGGAAAAATTTCTTTCACAAACATTCGGTTTTCAAAATATTCCTGGACGATATATTGTTCAAGGTGTCAAAGCATTTCGATTAGCCCAATCGCTACGTTCGATGGATCCCAAAATGATAATTCAGTTTCCAAGCAAAACTGCTACTGAGTCATTTGCGATGAGTGTGCAAGAAATTCTCGATTGTCAACAATCATATAATGTTTATGCTGACAAAACTATTAAGGGTATGAATGAAGAATTTCTTCAACGAGCACTACAAGGACAGAGTAAATATGGAGAAGAAGCATTTCGTATGAAATTTGTTATTCGAATTTCAAAATGTCCTATTTTGATGGAATTCGATGCTCGCATAATACATCGTGTACCTCAAGAAGAATGGCCACACCGAATTAAATTAGTTTCCGTAACTGGTGTTGATTTTGCTGGGCGCATACATGATTTAGGTGATATTCATACCTATGTAACGAATTGGCAAGATATTTATGAGATCGATCGAAATTCGGGTTTACCACTAGTTTATAATGGAAGAGATTTTCGTCGGAGAGCTAATGGTCCACGAGGAAAACTAAACACAGATCGTCTTCAAAATGATTTAATGCGTATGGCAAGACTTCGACTACGAGCTTGTGATTATGAAGAAGTACAAGTTGTAGTCGAAACAGGTATTGGACTTGGTGTATTTGCTGGTACAGCTATTGGAATCGATGAAACAGTGCGAGCACTTTCTGCATTCGCTATTCGAAAAGTACTTGAAGAAGATGGGCCAACTTATCGAAACATACAAGCCGTTGTATTTGCTCTACCTGTTTTTGATGTAGCCCACTTAAATGGTCAACAACAAGAAACCTTTCAAGTCTTTGTTAATGAATTCAAGAATAGTAATTATCAAGGTCCTATTCCTGTATTAATTACTGATCAAGACATGCATCGATTAACTGTAGCCATTGCTCGTATGGGTTTTAATGTTTCTGAGTTGAATCCTGCTGATTCACATGGTGTATTTGGTGAATATTGGCAAAATCGAGGACCAGCTGTGGAGGAAAAACTAGCTTTAACTACAATGGGTCTACTTATACAACATCATCTCATTAATTCATATGTACTTGATCCAAGCCATTACCTTTTTATCTAAAAAGGACGTAGAGAACAGTTTCATACTTGAAAGTTATAGATGAAAATGGTAAGAAAAGCAAAACTTATTCTCATTATCAATAATTACTTCGTTGACTCTAAAAGCTGATGTCCTATACTTGTCTTCAAAGTAGATAATAAAATGTATTTTCTTTCAATTGATGAAGGGTCGCTATACGTTTAAAATAATTAATTTTTGTCACTTCTGGTATAGTTTGATTCATTTCAGAAAAATTTTGAAATAATTTGAATAGGATTCTTCTATCTTTTTAAAAATCAACAAATCGTAAGAATAAAGGTATTCTATTCAATCAACATTCTACCTTGTATTGATATAAAATATCATCATGAATTCATACATATGTGTGGCTCTAAGTGTTCTTTTAAAAAGTGATAAAAACGCAACAATAATCTTTAAAAGAAACTAAGAAAGTCAAATAAATTATAATTCTTTTAGAACATTTAACCACTCGGATCCAAATTCTCTGTACTTTACATGTTCTGCTTTAAGTTACCAACAATATTGTATCAATGCATGAATTAATGAATTAAACTGATAGATGTTCATTATTTTGACTGGAAAGAATGTTACCCCAAAAGAAACATGACTGCGTTCTTTTCAACAGATCCACTGAAAAGAATCATTATGCTTTCAGTAGATATTGAATAGTAAAGAGATCAATACGAATTGTTGAAGACTGAAAACATCATATGTATGAATGTTTAATATGAGTGAAGATTTTGTGATATAATCGAACAATACTCGAATATAAGATCACACAATTCGCAATCTTAGACGAACAGATTTTCAAAACTAATCTAAAATTACTGGATATAGAAAAAAAGTATCACTTGTCATCTCTTTTTGAGTCAGTTCTCTATATTATTCTATCTAATTATTTTCTTCTACTTATTTCATTTTCTATGTTCAATGTAAAGAAACAGTAACATTTATTCTGTCTTGTCATCCGTTTGATATTGACACTCGGAATGAATTTGGTTTATACCGATAACTAAATCTTCAATGCAATAGTGTTGCACAATTCGAGTTTATTTTGAATTCTTATCGCTGATAAAATCTTATCACATTGCATTCTATCATTAACACCTTAGATTATTGACACAGATTAAGAAAGTGTTTGTTAGATGAATATAAAATAAGTAATAGATTTTCTGGTGTATAGGAACCAGTAAATCTTATATCATCAAGAAAGTTCGATAAGAAATACCATCTATTAACCGACTTATGTACTATTGTTAGAGAAATATTTATCGTTTTTGATTTCTTTGTAAGAACAAGAAACCGATCAAACATTTTCTCGTGATACAAAATATCTTTTCTATATGAATTCAAAGATAAGACTTGTTAATTTAGTGTGCACTAGTTCAAAAAAAACCACGACAGTGCTCATCTTTTTCTTTCGTACAAATAAAATATTGATGTTATCAATAAATTGAATATATGATCTATTTTCGGTTTCTTACAGCTTGCTCGATTACTATTTATATATGAGAAAAAGGTGTAAAATAAAAAATGATTCCCTATAATAATTTCGCAATCATCCGTAGACTTATTGAAACATTGAAATTCTTCTATCAATCCAATTTAACACCTTAGATTGATTGATTTCTGCTTGATCATCTTACGGAATAAGGCATGATCAGAATAATAATATACAAATTCATTTCAATCTTAATATCACTGACTGAGTAATAAGAGACAATCATTATCCGGCCTAATTACATTTTGGATCTTCGAGAAGTTTGATTCGTGGCAAAAATATTCGTTGTATACTACTGTATTTTAGGCATTCATGTCTACTATGCCGTCTTTTTTGTATATCGACAAGTGAAGACTAAATATCTGAAAAAATCTGCTAAGCGAAAAACATCTATTACTGTAGAAAACCACTTAAGAAAACCTTTGACATTGGTTTGATATACCAATAGTATTACTATTATTATTCTATTCTTCAAAAAGATCACTCAATTGTGCGAGAACAAAGACAATAAGAACCTGGCCAATTATTCTCTCCAATGTACGTACCCACTCTGCTTCATCCTACAAATGAAACAATTTGAAAAAAAAAGCGATCGATTTTGATCATTTGATGTTGTTAAAATTCGTACTAATAGTGACAATATCTGTTTAACAAAAATGCATAAGTATTTTGCAGAAACTATTTAATAATGTAAAAGAAAATGACTTCATCCTATCTAATCGATTATAGGAAGTGTTTAAAATTTTATTGTAATTCAAAAATAATTGACAACGCATATCAACTATATTCGAAAACACATCAATTTGAGAAGACCGTTCCACAATATTATGCGATCCTAATAAAACTTAATGTTAATATAAATAAATTGTACAAAAAAGAAACGAATATTTGCTTGAAAGATAAGTTCAAAGAACTAAATGATGAAATGAACAACTTATTGTATTATGAATAAGTATTAGAATTGAAATGAATTTACATGTGTTACTGCATCTTACAAAGGAACATACTCAATTGATCAATCACTTTTGAATTCGAACTCTATACTTTACTGGAATTTCAGGTTCTGACTTGGTGTATACTATTAAGTCGAATGATGGTATTTCGATATGAGGTTTTGCACACGGACAGGTCTATTTATCAGTAGAACGTCATGAAAATTTCAGTATCTTCATTAGAGTATGAGTCATTTTAGGGAGCTTTAATATATATCGAGAAGGAAGAATTCTATTGAACTGAAATTTTCAGAGCATTCTACTGACAGATAGACCTATCTGTAGACTAAATCTCAGATCGAAATACCGTCTTTCGATTTGTAGGTATATACCAAATCAATGAATAAACTGAACGTAATTGAATTGCAAATATTTAATCTATAGATTAATATTCACTCATGACAAGTATTTATTTATACATTCAAACAATTGATTTTCATTTAAAAAGCGACAAAAATTAAAGAAACTAAATAAATGGATGTGTTAAAGTTGAGGAAGTAAATTATTATCGAATAAATCTTAATTTTGATTCGTCATAATTTAATTTTAGTCCAAATAAGACTTCTTTGATCTTTTATCAAAAAAAAAATAATAACTTTGAATAGCGAAAAAAGAAACAAACTAAAGGCAAAATATGGGAACACATAGACTGATAATGGGTTTTCCTAGAGATTTATATAAAAAAAAAGAAAAGAAAAGTTCGAACAAAATTATTAACAGATATTAATGATCGACAAATAACAGAAGAAAAGCATTATTTTTCTGTATTCAATGCTTCAATAAATTCTTCTAGTTTTTCTTGAACTTGTCGAACACGTTCTAAAATAAACAAGAATTTTGTTTTTTCATATTTAAATAAATAAAAAATCTTACTCAATTCTTCAGCTAAATCAACTCTTTTTCCTTTAAGAAGATTTGCTTTCAATGTTTCATCTCCACTGAAATCATCTAATATATCTTTAACTTCTCGTTCAAGTCGACGAGCTAAAATAAAAATTATTTATTTTGATTCAAAAATATATTCAAAAACAAACTTTCAATATTTGATATTTGCTGTCGTATTGCATTACTTGTTATTTCAATCATACGTTTTAAACGCCAAAAGAAAACAACTTCATGACAATCAAGCTATATAAAAAATTTAAAAAAAGAAAACAAACAGAAAAATTTCAACGCTAATTACAATCGATTTACATACACCTTGATCAGAAAATCCTTTTTGATAATAATAAAAAAATCGACGACAATCAATACATGTCATTAAATTATGTTTAAGAAAATGAATTTTGTATACACGTTGCCATGTATCATTTATCTAAGAATAAAATTTATGTCAAAGATAACAAATCATATCTGAACATACAAATTCATTGGATACATCAATTTTTTGTGCTTGAAGATTTTTTTTTACAGTAGTCAATTCATCTTGGTCAAGAATAGAACGAAGCTAAATAAATATCAAATTTTTATTAATTCGTATAAATTCAAATTAAATCTTTCGATTGAATCTTTATAGAATGGATTATAAAAACATTAGAAAACTTCTACGAATCAATTCGAAGACCGATAGAGAAGTCTTAAATAAGTTGATATGATATAAAAGCAAAAAAGAAAACTACGTTGACCAGTAATGAAACCGATTGCATCTCTGTCTTAAATTATATTCTCCTGATAATTATAACAGAAGCAACATCTGATTGAAAACTTTTAAACTTTAATGAATATTATTCAACTAATTTGAAATTTCGATCAAAGTAAGCTCAGCATTCGAATATTTTAAGAGAATCATATTTTTAAATTTTCCTATTAAATAAATACTCATACCACTTGATTAGCTTTTGTTGTTTGATTTAATTGCTGTCTACTCATTAAGACTTTATCTAATTCTTTAACACATTGCTGTCGATATTTTTCTTCAATAGTCGATCTTTGAAGACCGATTAATTTTTTCCATGAACTTTGATTTATATTTGNCCAAATCAAGGTCGTGCTCGTCAAATATTTCTTCTGACTGATGGTGAAATATCAAATGTTACGGCAGTCCTTGATTTGTGTCGTTTAATGGCTTCGTCTACTCGAATCTTTTCTTTTGGTTTGGGAAAATCACCTAGTCGATCTTTAGTTAAAGGTCTTGCTCGATCAACCAATGGCCGATTTGTTTTCGTTCCACCAAATTCAAGTGTCGATATATATGTAGGAGAACAATTACAGAGAGCTCTTCAACCATGCATTACTAATATTAATGTCAGTTGGAACCTTGGCGTTAATGTTCAAATTCAAACTGCTCCAAAAAAATTACCTCCTGTTTACCTTAATGATCGTCTTATTGTTTATGCTCTTACTAATGATACAACAATCCCATTTGATCATGATTCTTCTGTAGAACTTCAAATTGAACCTAATCATCGTTCAATAGGTGTAGCAAAAGTTAATCAAATACCGAGTGTCATTGATAATGGAACAATTGCACGTTTAGCGGCTAAAGCGCTTATTCTGGAATTACAACATACTAAACTTCCGCTATCAACTATCAAAAAAGTGAAAGCAGGTTCGGCACAAGCACGGTTTCAAAATGTGGTAGCATCAGACGCAGAAAAAATGGAAGTGAGTTCCGATGAACAGACAACCAAGCAACGTATTATTGAATTATCATTGAAATACAATATCTTAAGTCCACATACAGCATTTATCGGTATAGAGAAGCGGACAAATGCCAACAATGCTGACATGATGCTACGGGAAGTACCAATTGAAATTTCTGCTGATGATCAGCATTTATTTACGCCATCAAGATTCCCTTGCTTGGGTGGTGCAATTCGTCATAGTGCAGGTTATGGACTTGGTGCTGGTGGTGGTTTTCGAGGCAGAGGAGCTACAGCAACTGTACAAAGACGTCAGAAAGAGTCGAATATGATGATGTCATCTGCGGCCACTTCTAGTTGTTCTGCACCGATGGATTTGTCTCGTCGTCCATCGTTAAAAAAGCGAGCTGTCCAAATAGATGCTGAGGATTTGGTACGCGAGTCTGGAATCATCCATCAAAGCAATGAAGTATGGCCCTCCACTGATCAAGACATTGTTCGTTATTTGATCAACAAACAAAAGTTTAATGGTCTATGGAATTTAGACGATGATACCATCAAGAACTTAACAGGAAAGTCTCTTTCAGTTTTTCAATCAACAAATCCAAACATCGACAATCAAATATTAATTTCAATCATTATTATCAGTATACTTGAGACACGATTTGCTGCTTTTTCGTCATTATGGCATGGTGTAGTGCAAAAGGCCCGTAAACAACTCAGTGATTTGATTGGAAAAGATTCAAAACATTTTAATACATTATTTGATGATATTCGTAAACAACTTTGAATGATCTTGGATTGCTTAGAATATCTTTCGTTTTTATTTCATATATTTTTAAAATAATGAATTTTATATTTGAATCCTCTTTTAAATAATCTATATATTCATGTTGCTAACCTTTTTACTTCTTTTTTTTGTCTCTATCACCAGAAGAGTTTCAATGTTGACCAAAACACCATCCATTGCTAAAAGTTATTTTAATTTTTTAAGGAACTAAAATATTTGATTTTTGGAAAAGTGATGTTTTACTTTACATCAAGGATGCATTCAGAAGAATAAGAAAAGAAACAAATAATAAATTTTAATTATATATTTATTCAGTAAATTAAGCTCTTTGTTCAATGAATCAGTCACAAAGTATGCTAATTTGATTCTCTGATTTGATCAATCAATCAAAACATCTCATTTTCGTTCTTGTTCACTTGTTATTCAAAGTACATATTACAACATTTAAATTCTCTTTTATTCAACATAATTTCTCCAGCATCAGGTTATCACCCTGATGATATTGTTAATGAAGTTTATTCACAAAATATGAAATTTATTATTCAAATGTGTATCGATTCTAGTAATGATCGAAGTTTACTCATCAAAGAAACTAAATATGAACTTCAAGTGAGTAGAATTTTTTATAAATCCAAAGAAAAAATAATATCGATGATTCGGTAGCGCTACCGGTGAATTTATTAAGGAAGCATGGCAATAGCTTATATGCTTTTATTTCACTTGTATATTCACTTATTTTTCAACTGATATCAAACTTAAATGAGTGCAAATTTAAATATGAACAAAGCGACCAAGATCATAAATTAGACAGCACTCTTTGATTTAGAGAACCTTTCAAGGCTTTCTTCCTTTCGGTTACTATACTAGAGGCAAAATACGTGTACCTACTTATGCAACCTAAATGACGACGGTTCGATTCAGAAATCATTTCAACAAGACGTAATCGAGTATGCTGATTACTGTGACAATATTTATCTCGATCGAGTTTTATTTTTGAGTTTTGTAGGAATTGTTAGTGAAAAACATCGATTTTAGTAATGTAACAACAGCATAATTGCATTTTTGTGGGAATCGTATTTCTATATAGTTGATGTTCAAGTTTTTATCCTACATCGATCAGTCGTCGCTTAGGCTGCAAAGGTAGGTACACGTATTTTGGACTCTAGTATCTTGGCAGAAAGGAAGAAAACTTTGAAATATACTCTAAATTAAAGAGTATAATCTAATTTATTATCTTGATAAATCACAAATAAAAGTACAATAGAAATCAGTGAGATGCTATTGTCAGAAAAGAAACTTCAACCACTGATGTAAGTGAATCTGATATAATTTAATCTAGTTATTTGTTTTCTTTATGAACCAAAAATTGCAGTTCTCTAGTTACTTTCTTTCTAGAGTAATTCAACTTACAACGAAATCCATGGTATTTTTGAATGGATAGTAGCGTCATTTTCTGATCGTCGAAGTTGCCGTCAGTATCATGAAGTGTCTTACTAATAAAACTGTATAATATAACTTGTATTTGCTTGCTTATCTCGTTAGTTAATGCACTGACGAGTAAAAGAAGAAATCGCTGAAAAAAATTGACCAATATCTTCTATTTTTTGCTTCATTTGTGGTTAATAATGAGCTAAATGAAAATTCGATCCCGATGATTGGCTAGTTGCCTGAAAGAGACCTAGGACATTCGATTGCAGTATACTTTTTTTTTTATATAATTCGATAACACTTCTCGAAAGATACATAATCATCTTTTTTTCTAACTTAACTAGGAGTGATCATATGTAAGACTTCAAATGTACTATTCTGTAGATATTATTTTGTGAGTTTTCACAAGTATTTATTAGACTTTTAATCAGAAAATTACCATTGAAACTAAAATTAATAACAGATCATGTATATCTTACTATTTTTCGTCAAACAATTCACTCTGAACTTTCTCCAGAATTCAGCAAAAAAGAATGAGTTCAACCAAAAACTAAAATAATAGATGATAGAATAATAAAAAGTTCTTTCGATTGGAATTCATTTTTGACTGAGATCTGAGGAAAATCTAAGGTCAATATTTGACCGAGTCAAACAAAATTTCCCGAAAATCGTTCATATATGCATAAATTGAGTCAGTTTTCTAGAATTATTTTAAATATGTTACTAGTTTTCGTTCCAATCGTAACTTTCTAAATAAAATTTTCCTAATTACCAGTTCAAGAGCATAAACTCATGACTAGAGAAGCATGCATCTCGACTTTTTCCGGTTTAGCCCATTTTCGCCGAATTAATTGATAACGGAAAATCATTGGGTCAAATTTAATTCGTTGTATAAGTATATTTTTATTATAATTAATTAGTTTATTATCACAACAATTGGTTACCATCTAAGGTGGTAATCAATCACTTTGATAGTAAACTAATTAATTATAACAAAAAAATTGCATATAGAACTGATTGTATTTCATCAGATAGTTTTCGGTTGAGAATTCATTTGGTGACATTCGAATCGGTAAAAATGGAAATTATCCTTTTTCTAGAAGTGTAATAGTCGTTAAATTCGAAAAATGTGCTGTTATACTTTTCGAAGACTCCTATTAATTAATCTATAAAGATTTACTAAAAATCAAATCAATCTTTTCTCTATCAATCCACAAGCTAGTGAGGAGAACTGAATTTTCAATTCATTTACTAATGAAGACCACTAAACCTACGAATGAAAGACACTGGCAAATTTTTTCCGCAGACTTTCTATATTAAAAACATATGAAAATTGTTGATTCTAATCAGTTTTTGTGTGATTTAAAATCGATCAAAATGGTACGATTTAATTGGATTTTCAATCACGAAAATATGAACTAAAATTGATTATTTCTTTAAAAATATATTATAGTTGATTTCATGAAAAAATAATAATCTGAAGTTTTTTCATCTTTCTTACGTTGAAAAATTATTTCACTTAGTCTATAATTCCTGTTGATATTTTAAAACCTATTGCATCATTTTACTCAATTTCAGTCTCTTCTTCTGTTAATCGATTGTAACTATAAGCGTTCAAGATTCGGACTTTCCTGGACCTACCAACGCAAAAAGCTTAACTCTTTATGACTTTTACGAATTTTTCCTGTTCAGAAACAACGAAGTTTTAACTACGATAAAACCTATTAAAAAGAAAAAGTATCAGTTTTAATTCATTTCGATCCATCATAGAGAACAACGATCAAATGCTACATCAAGGTTTATCATGATATACTGTACTCAATCGATTTTTTTTCCTGATTATCTTGTTGAAATTGTTTTTCATCTGATTTTTAGGAGCAGTCATCCTATTCCGCAATGTTGCACATTCCGGAATCAGTTCCGCCCTCCGGAATCAGTTCCACCAATTCCGGAACTCCTCCAACCTAATTCCGGAATTCCTCCAACTAATTCCGGAATTCCTTTAACTAATTCCGGAATTCATCGAACTAATTCCGGAACTCCTCCAACTGATTCCGGAATTGTGTCCGAGACGGAATCGGTAGGAATTCCGTCNTATTGGTAGCAAATGAATATACTTTCAAACTAAACAAAACAACAACTACAACTAAATATTGGAAGTATACATACAATGGTTGCTCTTCTAAAATTCATACATTTTTTTTCTATTAACATATTTTAGTGTTAGGATAAAAAATAAAGAACGTCTTCTATTTCAAGATTTTCTAACAAGAATAATGAGCCATTTTCTTAATGTATATTTTTTCGACATTTTTCCCTTTCGACATTTTTCCTTTCGACATTTTTCCCCTTCGACATTTTTCCTTTCGACATTTCTACTGCCAACCCAAAAAAGTCTCACAATCAAAAGATTCAATGCCAAAATGTCACGTAAAATACTTCAGCCAAAATACTTGTCCGTGAAAACTATACGAATAAAAAGCATTTGAAAGCAAAACAACGTAGAATCACCAGATCACATTCAGCGTGTCATTGCCTCTCAGAAATTCCAACGTACCGCCTATTCCTTCTTGTCTGATTTCGTTTCTGCAGAGATTGAGCATGATGAGTGTCCGTGTACAAAGTCGAAATAGCAAAGACCGACACAAGTGGAAAATTGTATTTTACTGTGTTCTTCAAGAGAACATTCGCAAGATACTGTGCACTTTCCTTTCCGATCCTAATCGTCTCAAGATGACGTTCGGTGAGTGTCTACGCGGAAACAAGAGACATTGAAGAGCAAGATCGGTAAAAAACGGGGCCCTGAATATGGGTATGAATGCTTTCTTTTTACTCTGAAGACTACACCCACACTCACTCATCTACTTGAGATTTTACACAGGTATTCGACATCTCCGCAAAGATAGGCTATAGAAACGAACTCCTTTTAGAGTATGCACAACTCATTCGAGTTGGCATGACATATGTGGTCTGAAGGCAGCGCATTCGATACACTAAAAGCAGTAGTTTAGTAAGTGAATATTAGCTGGAAAATTTGGAATCTGCCACCAGCTTTTTCGACATTGTTTGCCACTGATATTGACTCAGCAGCAATTTTAGGGTGTTTGAATATACATTCGATTTTGTCAAAAAGTGTAAAAATCAATGCTACTTCAAACGATAACACCAAATACAATCGCTATGTGAGTAGAGATTAAGTATATGCTTGAATATATTGACACTCTTTAGATATGGTGAGAATAGCATACAGGTGTAAGCGAATTAACCTAACACCATAAAAGACATGCAGCATCATAAAACAAAGACAGTGACTCGAAGTATTTCGGTAACACAAATACTTATGTCTGTTTCAAGTTTTAGATCGAATAGAAAAGTATGAAGACTATCGTGATTAGTATAGCCATCTTTGTTATTGCTCTTCTAACACCATCAACAGCTCAAGTTGAGATTCCAAAATGTATTCAAAACATGATTGACTCAATGCATGCCACACCTAGATGGAGTCCCTACACGAGCATCGACAGTTATGTATATCGTGGGAAATTGACTTATCTGGCTGCAAGTAGCTGTTGTGATCGAATGAATCCTCTTTTTGACGGCGAATGCAATCGTATTTGTGCTCCGTCGGGTGGTTTTATTGGTATTGGTGATGGAAAATGCAAGGACTTCGGCGAGACGGCAAAATTGTTGGGAAATATATGGGTTGCTCCACGTGGTAAATAAATCCGTGACACTACAAAATTGGATGTGCTTGAAAACATCAGAAAGAAAATAAAATAAAAGCATATCTTCCAACTATCATGCAATATGCACACTTTCGATAATAAAATGTTTCCCAACTCTCATTCCTTGCAAATTACACATCCTATCATGAAAGTAAAATTGATTGCTGACTAACCAACGAGAAATTTGTTCGTTTCCCTTAATTTTTATAAGCGAGATTTCTTACAAGACGAAACAGTACGATTTGGCATTGCTTAGTTGGATGCTGGACAATAAATGAGAAAATCTGTTACATTGTGTCAATGGCGCACAATTCTCATTATTTACGTGTAGTATCAGTTGGTTTCGAAAATCACGAAGTGATCTTGATCAGTGTAGTACGGTTATGTTAAAATATTGAATCACGGTGATCGTGACTGAAATTAGAGCCTATTCACAGCAAGTCGTGCGAACTTAAACAATCACAGTTTTAAAATCAGAACTTATTGAATTTTTACGATCTTGTGTGGTGCATCTTTCTTAGATTCTTTCACAATAACTATGCCTTCAATATCAGTGTTGGTAACTCTCATAACGATGGATTACAAATGAAATCCGTGTTCTTAATAAAATACAACGAATAAAACAAAAAGTCCATATGTAACACCAATAATGTGCAACTTTTTCTATAAGATCATATACATGTAACAATTATTCGTCTGAGTAATTCTCTTTCTCTATTTGTTTGCTCTATACAGTTTTTCATAGCTTCGCATTTGAGTTTGCTGGCACTTCTGTCTCATTTAATTTGCATCTAATCAGAGAGTGACGACTCATTGTTATTTCTCACGAAAGTCCTTGTCGTTGTCATGAAAATCTTCATCAGAGACTTGCAACTCTGCTGTAGAACTAGAAGTTGATCTATTCTGCCGATTCCTAACTTCGTTTATTAATCAATGGTTGGATTCTCGAGAGGGGAAGGAAGGCAGAAAATCGATGCTCCATTACATTGTTTGATGCATATATTGCGTAAATGCCGGCTTGCTATTATTGTATAGCAACGTCTAGGTACAGATAAATTTGGCGAGCTCAAAAACCCAAAAATATAACCAATCAGTTTTCATCACGAAGTGCTGTAGTTGATTGCATCCATGAATAGAAGATGTCTTTGTTGTCATTTATATTAATTTCAAAATTCTGGACGTTGTAGTCAGCGTTTGTCAAGCGATCTCCGATTCAAAAATCTTAGCAGTTCTATCTTTTCGACTCGAACTCAATTAAAATATTGGTGTGTCTAAAGAACAGACTAGCATACTCACACCCTCAGAAATGTCGATAGCGATAAACTGAATACTCCTGTGCCCTTTTTCTCCCACAACCATAGTCTCTAGTACCCAGAATATCTATTGGCTTCGAGCAGTTCAAATGAGTTCAAGTAATGAGTAGTATTTTTGCAATAGTTGTCAACTCGCCGAATATTCAAAACTTCGATGAGCATCGAGGAATTAAGACATGTTCGAAATATCGAAAATGAGTATTCGATAGGATTTCGTTTTTGAGTGCTTGAGATTCGAAGGCTTTTGACAGGCTCACAATTGGAACAGAACGACAAAAACAATTTACGTTACAAATCTATGAATGGTTCTCGCGCCCAAAGCATACTTTTCGAAGACTAAAGGAGTATCCATTACAATATATGTCCTTCAAGAACCAAATTATGATGCTATATTTATTTGGTAGAACAATAATTTCAAAGGAAGCACAAGTGTGTCACATCAAAGAGGTACTAATGTGAAACGTTGACTTGCTTGATCGTGGCATCGGAACAATTGCAACGGACTATTATTGACTATTTGACCGTTGGGCACATCCAAACATTTGCCCATGACGTGAATACGACTTTGAGAGTCAAGTAAGAAACGCTGATTCTCTTGAGCTGAACGGCAGTTAAATAGTTGCACAACCTGATGATCATATGCTTTCGCATCTGGAATGTCCAAACATTTGCCCATGACACGAATAGTACCATCGGAAGGTAATTCAAATTGTTGATTTTCATTTCCATGGCAATGGAATAACTGAACTTGAGAATGAATTGCTCTACTGCCACCAGCAATATCGAGACATTTGCCAGTTGTTGTGTTACCACCAACCGTTATTAGGAAACGCTTATTTGCTACAAGAAAGATTTTTACAAATAAGTAATCAGTTCATGACGGAGCATATCTACTTCTTAGACGGACAGTAACAGACTACGAAGGGTTTAAAATTAATGTTTTTTGGAATCATCATCGGCGATTCCGATTATGACCATCCATATCTATTATAGACTATTGATACAGCGAAAATGTGTTTGAAACGACCGTTTTCTCTAGCCTGTTACTCTGTCATTCTTACCGAAAACAGCTCGAAAAATCGTAACAGGAAAGCAGTATGACGACGATCCGGAAAGTTATCGTATCTGATCAGGAGAGAACGCACAGCGGCAAATCAGAAATATGCTGTATCTTGTCAGAAAACCGTACAAATGTTCATGCTGATTAGTTCAAATAGCCACAAGCGATATCTTAGTACATCACTCTTATTCGAGAAGCTACAAATCTTCTAGATTAAAAGTCACGTAACTAGATCAGTTAACCACAAAAGCGTTTTTTTAATACTAATAATTGATCCACAATTACAAATGAAAACGACATAGCTACTGAAGAAGGAAAGAACTTTGAGGGTCTATTTGAAATAATGGATTGGCAGGAGATTGAAGATTATTAAGGTTGTGGAGATTCTTTTTAAATCAGCCTTTAAAAAGTTTTTTTAGACAAGAGATAATTGTATGAATTTTGAATCGCATCTTATTTGGAGGTTCGCTCATCGCTGGTTTTCAGTTTTCATAGTGAGTGTGGATGAATTGAATGATCATGTCCCCTTCCCTCCTGCTCCATCCACACTTACATTGATATCCTCGACTGCTGCTACCCTTCTTGGAAATTTCACTCCTGACATTTGTCTGACACCCATCCTATCCGCTAGTTTGTCACTGTATGGTTTGATCCAGGTTGTGAAAATGTCAGAAGAATATATTCGAAAACACCTTTTTGTATGCATCCAGATATAGCTTAACTTAGAATAGTCATATGAATTTTCACTTAATTGGAAATTCTCAATCAAGTTTTGCTGAGAACAATTAAACAAGTCCCGTTTGTGTAGAAATTTAAATAGTTTCATATTTCGTAAAATATCTTTAATAGATACAAGAAAAGCAAAGAGACAGACCTTGAACTGCAGGCCATTCACATATTTGATTACTCTGGCCCCAAACTAATCCTGCTGGACAACGCATCAAATACGGAGTCCCAAGTGAACATTGAAAATATGCGTGCTGATCATCTGGATTCAAAAAGAGACCATCAGTTGGACATACAAACCCATGAGCTACCGAATTTAATGCAAAATATAGAAATGTGGCAATCAATGTGCTTCTCATTGCTTTTATGTTTTTATGACAAAAGTCACAATAGATGTAAGTATACTATTCCCTCTTAAATATTATCGACGCTTCGACTATGTAAATGCACACATGTTCTCTTTCTCATACTATGATATGCGACATGGATTTGATGCCCTTTTTTTCAAGACTATCTGCTTATTCGAAATAGAATCTAATCCTCATTCGTTGTATTAACTATATAACATGATGACAGAAAAATCCAAACGCATTCGTCATTGTGACATTAGCTGACATTTTTTTGCTGTTGTAATCGTGGCAGTGCACTCTTTTCAATCACGTTTAGCCATTGATACATAAAATAAAACTTCAATTCATATATCAGCTGTAGTGCAGGTGTGGATGGGTGTTGATGTTGATGTTGGATAGAAGTGCATCCACACCCATCTGTGTGTCTTCGCGTCTCTTATAAATACCCTCAATTGTTCATGTAAAATTTAGATTCATTTATCTGAGAAGAAAAATTAAAAAATTTTTCAACATAAATTACATGAAGATTGTAATATAGCTTGTTGTATGCTTCATGGTATGGCAGTGTATCCCCGAACTGTAAGTTGACCATGCATGAACTGAACCTTTTGAGTATAGATTTTCTTTTCATTTTTTCTTCAAGGTTATTTATTTTTTAAAGCTCAACTTGATCATCTATCTATAGATGTTATCATGCAGCTTGTTGATTTTGTTGTCGAATCTTATAAATATTATTAGATATTATCCCTTTAGCTACGGATTTGTTTTTTCTGATACAATTTTACGAAAATATTTCAAATATTACAATAGATATTTATCTTCTCAAAAGTTGTGTAGCGTATGGAGACCTTTGAAACAAGCACATAGAAGATGATAACGACAACAGACAGAGCTAGAGAGACAATAGACGAGCTAGTTGCTTTCACAGACATCCACTGCTAACAATCAGGTATCATATATGATACTCGCGTGGCCAAAGGATTATAAACTATTGCGCTTGTGTATGTTGATTGAAATATAATGATTTGAATGCAATTCGACCTAAATATATTCATCGTTTATCAAACGAATTGTACGTTAATCAGCATGTTATATAATGCGTCATCTCGACGGTGACTCGATGTAAATGATTTAATACCACTTCGTTTTATCGCTCAATGTATTGTTTTATTACATAAAAATCTGGTACATATTTGATGATTTTAGTTAATTTAGAATATTCTCTACAACGTTATTTGATTTTGTTTTTATTTAAGTATTCATTTTCTTCTGTTCTGAATATAAATGAGACTAAAACAATGAGACGTGACTTGATTTGGTTAATTTTTATCAACCTATTTTTTTCAACTTTAACTACTGAAAAAGAATCAAGGGTGATTTTTTTTTAATAGAGAGATCGTGAGAAAAGTCGAAGTAAGGGCATATCCATGAAAAAAAAGAAAGAAAACAATAGCCGTCTATGTATTTTTCTTCGTCATCCGTTATATTTGTGATTACTCTACATATTCAAGTTATTTCATTTGTTCGTTTTAGTTTCACTCGACGCAATTTATTTGAGTTTTATTTATGGAAAGAGACAAATTTCTTTTAAGAAAATGTTTGATGCTCGAATTTGGATTGACATTTATGAATCTTGTGCAACATCTCGACTTCATATAATAAAAAAGTATAAGATCACAAACGCAAAAGAGAAACAGATTGAAGTGATAGTGATCACATTTGAATTGGTAAGTAAAACATAGTATTCATTAATTCATAAAATAAATGAATCTTTGTGTTAATTTTTTATATTTTTAATCTTATCATATTCACAAACGAACTATATAGTTAATTGATTCTATACTTTTAATTCTATTATTTTGTTTATCATATGTGCAAGAGTAAACATAAGATTATTGTCTTCCAACAATTCAACTTTATTTATTACCAATAATGCTATTCGTATGATGTAATATTTTTTAAGCATCTATCTGATGATATTCTGAAAAAAACAAAAAAAAACGCCATTTACCACGAAACGATCAATATTCTATTAATATGCCTAAAGAGACCTTTGATCAAGATCTAAATCAGTCGTAATATGCTTTGCTAAACTTATACTACAGTTCCAACACTTCGCACTTTACTCAAAAAAAGTCTTTTCATGTAACAGTGTAGATAATATGTTATTTTGTTTCATTGAATTGAAATAGATGTCTTGAGCCATCTGCGAATACTCTTGAGCATGGTTTAAACTGGTTGTGATGTGCTCTCCTAGATATATAGACATATACTAACTCACTCACACTCAGAGCCACACCGATACCGTTCCTTTACTTCATCTAATCACACTTGCACTCACACTCCATATCCACGCACTTATCTAATTCTTTAATACTTTTCTTACTCAGAAACAGGATTTTGTCTACGTGTCAATGTTTTCTTTGTGTCTATTCTCGAAAAACATTTTGTGCTAAATTAATGTTTCGTATAGTGATATCATTTCTATAAACATGGTTTTGTTTCTTTTTTATAAAAACAATCTTACAGTGGCGACTAAGTTCTGAAAATTCTGAACTCTTGTGAGCTTCGAAATTATACGATACAATAAAAGCTACCAGATGGTGACTATGTTACAGACAGACAGACCAATCTTGATTTTAAATATGCTATACTTGTCTAATAAAGTTCAGTTAATATTGCAATGTAATCGATTATTCAACAAAACTTTGATCAAAGTATTTTATCGTTGTACTTTTGTAACTATATTCGTTTTTGTTGTTTAATATTGTTCTTAAAACTTTATATTTAATCTAAAATGATAATTAAAAATTGTGATTAAAAAATATTTTCTTGTATCATATATGGATACATATACATATAGAGAGAGAGTTACTGAATTTCAATGAATGACAGACGATCATCAAGATTAGTATATTGATTTTAAAGATTTTATATTTTGAGTTTGAAAATTTTATAAAGAGCACTTGAAATAGAAAACGTTTTGATTTTTCATCATTTATATTATTCTGTGTCTTGTTCATCTTTAGAATATAACACATTTATATACAGTGTGATTTATAAATATAACTTAGAAATCAGTAGAATTTGTTATAATTAGTTATATTAGCACTAATTCTATTACAAAAAAATTTAATATCACATTATTCAAATAATGTGATGCTGGTTTATTATAATCATATGTTCAGATTTATTCTCTAACTCTTAATAATTTTCACAGTACGTGTTTATGTATGCAGCAACGAACAATTGGTCGAATTATTAAATACCTTATATAATATAGATCGTCACTTCTAAAAGCATCGAAGATCGAACAAACACACTTGTAAATCGTTGTATATTGACGTATTGCATTGCTCAGTATTACGATCGTATTTCTTCGTATGTGATAACGAGAAATACGATCATTTACGAAGTTCGTATACGGCTTCGGTTTTACGCAGTATTTCATCATACACGGTTGTATTTCTCCATATACCATACGAAGTAGTATAGAGTGTATATAGAATTCATACTATTCGTCTTAGGATGTCTATCCTAAGTTAATTTAAATCCTAATACGTAGATGTCATTTACTGTTATTCTACGCAGACATTGGTACTATAGTTATTATATGGTAACTGTGTTACAGACAAACAAACATAAGTGAATTCGTGTTTCTAGACCCTATCCTTTCAGTCTAGGGAACAGGTTTTTATTGGTTTTTTAGATCACTTGATTATATATTCATTATTATTCTCGTTTTCGCGCATTCTATCGGACTCAATATGTAAATTTTCTTGTTTTCAATGAATAAACAAGAACGATTTGAACATTGGACAAAATTAGTTATTCATCATCCAAAAGCAAACATATTTGATGCTAAACAATTTTTTATTGATATGATTGAAAAAAAGTTTTTAATTATTCTTGATTGTCAACAAATACGACTTACAGCAATGATGAAAACATATATTCAAGAAAATGTTAATTTTTTATCAAAACAATTAAAATTAAATTCCAGTGAATGTCAACGAATTTGTGAAAGAGCATTAGAAAAATTTATTGAATGTGATTTTACACATATGACATTACTTGATATTGATTTAATCAATAATGCTTATCAATCAAGTGATCCTATTGAATATCCTATTGATGATTTACAATTAAGAATTATATTTGATATGATTGCAGTACTCGATGGAGTTTTACGATCCGTATCACAATCATTAACATATTCATTTGAATAGATTTAATCAAATCTTTATTAAATATGCAAAAATATTATTCTGAATTGCAGAAAAAAAAAAGACACGAGAATAAACTATAGTGTTTGTTTTTATACAGAAACAACTAAATCAGCATAAACAGGAAAATGATCTGATGGAAAAAATCCATCTTGATCATGATAATCATCAATTTTAGTTTCACCGTGAATACGATAAATACTATTCGATGTTATCCAAAGAAAATCTATTTTTGGACCATAACCAGCTGATCGAAAACCATTAAATGTTGGTGTTTCACCATGTTGATATGTATCAATAAAACCAGCTTGTTTCATTTGTTGAATTTCTGATGCATGTTGTCCTAAGATAATAAGTTGTTGAATAGGTGTTGTACCTTCAACATCTTCAGGCCAATTATTAAAATCTCCAGTTACAATAACTTGATTAACATTATAATTTTTATTTATTTCTGAAATAAGAACAGGTATTGAATGATGACGTGCATTTTGTGATGGATAATCTAAATGAACATTAAAAATAATAATTGATTGTCTTGTTGCATCTTCAAGATGAGCCCATGTACAAGCACATGAATGTTTTGCACCCCAAGCTGGACCTGCTGTTGTTCGATGTTCATTAAACCAAAATGTTTCAGATGAAATAAGTGAAAGTAAATCATGACGATAAAATATAGCATTTATTGCATGTAATTCATCAGCTTCCTTACCTATCCATGACCAACATTTTGATGATCTATGATATAGAATAACAATGATACTTATTATATTGATTAAAGAATATTATTTTAGAAAATATTTTACTCATTAAGATCATCTAAAATATTATTTAATTGTGATGTAGTGCCTTCTTGAGTTCCAATTATAGTTGGTTGCATATTTTCAAGACATTTTTTCATTATTGGTCGTCTTTTCACCCAATCATTTGGGGTACCACGATCCATACCATCACGACGCAAATTAAATGTACATACACGAACAATTGTTGAGCTCATTTGTCTTATAAAATTCATTAAAAAATGGTCTTGGTATTCGATTGATAAACGCCAAAAAAAAAGACTAAAAACTATGATTACTTGGACATTAACGAAAAAGTATAATTCTATTTAACTATCATATATTTGTTTGATTAATCATGTTTAACTAATGCAAAAAAATATTGTAATACTATGTATCGAGATGGCTTTGGATGAATAAGCGTCACATTATAGAGGCCGTTCATATCAATTACTATTCGAAAATAGCAATAATAAAGAATGACTCATAGTTTCTGAATACAAATATATAAAATTAATTGATTGCAGAATGAAACAAGCCAGCTCGTTTATATCATTGGTTCTATCACAAGCGAAGCAGATAGATGTTGCACATGATCGGTAAAGTTGTCACCTCTTCCAAGAAAATACGTATATTTACATAGCCATAAATAAAAAGAAACCTCAAATGAAACGAAGTAGTGACTTCAGATTTTTCATCAATCAAATGAGAACAAGGTCGACATTAACAAAAAAATCGATAGTTTCTATGTTCAATTGATAATGCCATTCTTGAGCTATTGTAAAAATAATTACAAGATTTGTATTAGTTCTCTTAAAAATCATCTTTCATATTATGTTTGTAATTTCAAAAACAAAGAAGAACAAGATTGTAATTCGATAAAAGCTTTGGATTATATTTTTTTTGTCTGGACAGAATATGAAAAAAAATACATAAAGTTAAGGTAATAAAATTAAAAAAAAACGAATGAATGAATGCTTGTTGATTTCTATTCATAGCATACATGTTCGCTTAAAGTTGATTTTGTCGAAAATTAAAGAATAGCATTAGTTAATCAAAGCCAGGTCTTATATGTTCCTGCATTGTTTGCTTTGCCTAAAATTTATTATAGAAAAAGAATTTTTTATTGTTTCAAATAAGTCATGTGCATATATATATGTGTATCAATATCATAAAATACATCTTAAGTTTTTCTTTAACATCAAACGTGCATTTGTGTATACAAATTAACACATATATGCTTACCTCATATTCTTTATTATCAACAGGTAAATAATTTGTTGCTATATTCATAGATTATAATCAATTGTTATGCAATTTTTTTCAATACTTACATGCATTTTTTTTGTATGCTGAATCAGGTGGTCTATATGATAAATTATCTTTTGTATAATGTTGAGAACGATTTGAATTTCGAGTTAAAGATGGACGTCGATTTAGTGTCTCATTTTGTGACCAAGTTAAAGCATCCAATGAGTGTGTTGCCGGATTAGCTGATGTAAAAGATGAATCGTTATAGGATGCTGAAAATCTATGTTGTGGTCGTTTCATTGGTGGATAACCAAAACGAGGTATTGGATATTTATAACTATCATCAACTCGTACTGTACCTAGAAAATAAATTCGGATTGAAAAATCAATGATAGAAATGTTAAAATACAACAAACCATCAATAAACATAAGATTTGATCCAGAATAGGTATTTGTTTGTTTTATATGACGCCATTGACTTCCGATACGACCATGACGCATTCTAAAAATATGTCAAAATTGTCTTTTTTTTGGAAATATATATATATATATTTATCATATTTACCTTGGAAAACCAACTCCAGCTTTTGTAGATGTTGTTAAATTTTTTTTCAAAGCATCTCGATAGAGAAGTAAAGCAGCTAATTGATCATTTTCATCATCGATCCAATTATTATTATTAAGCGATCTTGAATTAAAACGAAGATTATTACCAACAATATCTCTAAAAACAAACAAAAGAGAATTTTTTTGTTCATAATAAATATTACTCATACCGTTGAGTAGCTGGTAATGGTGGATTGTTATTATATGGTTTAACACTTGCAGAAACAAGATCATCGGTTTTTTCATTATTTTCATAATTTTGTTGTCCGAAATCACCAGATCGATGAAGAGATTCAGAACTTCCCATTCCATCGTTGCCTACACCATTAGCATCGTCGTTAACAAACGATGCACAAGTACACTTGCCTCGAGAACCGTGTAATGGACAATTCTATAAAATAATGTTTGTTTTTTAAATATCATTTATAAATAGACTAGATTTTATTTTATTTGAAATGAAAAAGACCATAATCGAAGTTTGTTGAAATTAAACAAACATCAGCAGCATACAATACAACAAAAAGTTGTCGTTTAGATTTTTTTTGTAATTGTATTTCAGGTGATTTATCATGATCAGAAGAATCTATCGATCTGAAACAATATATGAGAATTAATATGATGATCTCACCTCGTTAATAGCTGGCCAATTTCTTTTTCGTGAACTCGAAACCCATGAAACGTTATCCATACTTTGAGCATGCCGAAGTCCAGTGGGTAGTTTATAAGAGGATGTTGCTAGACCGTCCATTACTGTTTTTTTTTCTTCTTATTGTTCGCTTCTCTCTGGCAATGAAAAACACCGATGAATGGTATAAAACATGCATAGGTGTTGCTATTGTTTCTTTTTACTTGTTATGTCCTCCTTTTTCTCCCCCTCCATCTCTCTCCCTCATGAACAATTACAGATCTGGCTATAGTGAAAGTCGTTTCTAAGTCCATTAAATCACTACGACACAAAAGAAAAATTGTTTTTCTCTCTCTCTGTTTGTTGTAGCTTGCTGTTTTCATTTCACTATATGTTGGTAATATGTATTTCAAATAACGATGCATCAGAAAGAAAAGCTTTAGTTTGTTTCTTACTCGACTCGTTGACGAGAATGGGTAGAAACAAGATAAATATTTCTATCACAGTTTGCCATTGTTTGTAAATTAATGAAAGATTAATAATCTAAGAAAAAGAAGGAAATGTGTATTTTTTTTACACAATATCTGCAACGACGATCTTCATAGTGAAATAAGAGTACAAAAATTTCTAGGTGTTACTTGATCAGTAAATACAGATATAAATGACTTAACATGTCTACATTATTCTAATAGAAAAAATCACAGTCAATAATGAAAGGTTACAAGTTGCTTTCTTATATATATATATATGTACTCATACAAAACTTGTTTTTTCATCTTACAGCAATATTCCATACAAAATTAAAAGCTTTGAAAAATTTTTGAATGATTTGAAAAAAATAATAATTGCATCAAGACCTCGAACTATAAAAGTACGTTAACAATCTATAGTAAAACTAAGAGACTAATGCATAAATGTTGTTTTCTTTCTTTTAAGGCATTAAACACGAGAAAAATAACATTTTTTGTGCATTTATATTATTGTAATAGATATACCTTGCTGTTTGTAATTATGACAATAACAATAGTATGACTTTGTACTTAACATGCATGTCATTGATCGATTGTTAAGTGAAATTTGTCCATTGGATGTTATTGTGTTGAGTACATTCAATCCTAAAGTTACTGATGTGCTGGCTATTAGATGAATCGAATTAAGGAGTTTTCCAATGTTGTGTCAGATTGTTTAGTGTAATTAATCATTTTTTGTATTCTTACTTATTCTGAATGTATGTTACATTGGTACATGTATTATGTTTATTAAAGAATTAATTATTGAATAAATAAAATGAATGTCTGTTCTGAGATTACGTTAATTTTCTTATGTCTTAAATAATCATTTTGTAGCAAAGACAAATAATTATTTTAGCATCTTAATTCAGTATCAACCAAGATAAACAATAAACATTATTTTCTTCTCATTTATTCAATCAAAAATGATTATTACATGTCATTTTTTTAAAATTAAACATCATCTTGAACAATAAGTTAAATAATTTGTTTTTTCAAATGTTTATATAAAAAGTGCGGCAAAAAATAAAAACTCAAATTGATTGTATCGATTATTTCAAGTATTAAAAAACAAAAGCTCTTCTGCTCCATAGTTTGCTTAACAACCAAATTAATAACAAATGTTTGTAGAAGGCATCAGCATTTTTTTTCAAACGATGCTAATCAAAATAAGCATCTGAGGCATTTTTTTATAATTATACTTGTGTGCTTATTGATTGTTTAAGCTAAATTTTAAGTCGATACATTATTCTTCTTTTATTTGTTGACAATCGCAATCAATCGGTAAAACATTCATGTATATTTCCTTTATGAGAGCTTTTATTATAACGCACAAAAAAATTTAATTATTCTTTTGAATGCAAAAACAATATTTTTGTAATTGCTCTTTTCTTCCTCAAAGAGAAATAATACAATGAAGCTATTTATATATAAGAACAAACACGGCTGAACATTGTATTGTAAATAATAAAGAGCTTCTTGCATTCTTTCATCATACTACCGGAATAGAAAGAATTGAAGAGACGTAGAGAGGGTGAAAGAGAGAGACATACAGAAAAATGGTAATGCCTCTCAATCGCATGCGAATGTGTATGCTTTCATCACAACAACACAACCGTGCTCATCGACAGTAGACGCCACAGTTGTGTAAACAGAATATAATATATCAATAATCGAACACATATTTTAATGGTGAACAACGTGTAACCTGTTTAGAAAAGAAAAGTTAATATATGCCTATTAAAAGTCAACAAGTATTCAAATTTAAATTAGCATTGTGTTTTGATTTATATTAATTAATTGTTTTTGTTTTTAATATCTAGCGATCACAAACAGATGCAGCTCGAATGCTGGGTCGAGCAAATAGTCTGTCAACAATTTCATCTAAAACAACTGAGTCAACATCAACAAAACGAAGTGTTGGCCAATCAAGACCAAAGTCTGATAATACTACGAGTAATAGTGCTGTATCAATTGATGTTGGAGGTAATCCGCAAGCATCAAAACTTTCTGGACAATTAAAAATGATAACTGAAGTTGATGGTATGATAAGAAAATATATTTCATATATGCGCTAAAAGTTTTTCTTTTTTTCTTTGTACCTTGTAAAGAAACAAATATTGATGAAGTCTTAAATTCACCTGATTTATCAAATGTACCGAAAACATTTTTTACTGAAATTCAACAAGATGGAATTTATGAAACAATTTTCGAAGAACTAAAAAAGAAATTACCACATCGAAGTCCACCGAAGCTCCCTCAACTAGAAACTAGTTTATCAGAGCAACAACAACAAGAACCCCCATTATCACCACATCTTCTTGCTGTGGACGATGATGAGGAAGATATTATTGATAATGATACAAGTACCATTGATGAGGCTTCATCTTCTGGATCGAGTGAAAATATTGCGTCACCAACACAAGATGATTATGATACTGATATTGAATCAGGTTAAATTAATTTTTCAAATTAATGATTTTAGTGGAAATTTTCATTTGTTTTTTTCTGTAATAGAAGTTGCTGTTCAAGAAAATCATGATATAACAGGTAGAACACAATATCGTGAATCATGTTTACAATCAAAAATCATTCCATGTTCATATTTTATGGCACATATACAAGATAAAGAAATGGTTTTACGTTATCATCAATTTAGTACTGATGATATTCGAGCAATAGCAAAAACTCTTTGTGTATGTATAATTTCTCATTATAAATATAGATTTATTCTTAACGATGTCATTGTTTTTTTTTAATAGTCAAATCTTAGTATTGAACGTTTATTCTTAGATGGAAATTATTTACAACAACAAGCAGCAAAATATATTTCTCGAATGATAGTAATAAATGATTTTATTACTGAATTAGTAAGTATTCATATAATTGAAAACACAATTTATATTTTTATATAATAGTCACTGGCTGATAATCGTCTTGGTGGAGGTGAAGGTACAAAAGAAATTTGTAAAATGTTAACATTAAATCGTAATTTAAAAAGAATTAATCTATCAGGTATAGAAAAAAAAAAACTTTTATGAATTCGTTTATTTGTTACATATTTATGAATGATAGGAAATAAGTTCAATGATCTTGATGCTGCTCAATTAGTAGAAGCATTCGAAGTAAATATAAATTTGTTTGATTTTATTTGTTCATTAGAAAAATTCATAATTTCGTTTTTTTTTCGAAACACAATCTAAAAGCAGTGTTGAAATATGAGGGGGGGGGCGACCTTTTTATTGCATTTTTGAACGAACTAAGGATAGCAAATTAATCTGCTCCAAAATAGAAAGAATCAAAACAATCTCCTTGTGATTAGCAAAAACACCTACATTTTGTTCCACATCTTAATTCGATAGGGATTGTGCTAACAACTGTTTTTTTTTTAATTTTCGATAGCAAAGTAAAATATTACGTGAACTTGATTTAAGTCACAATTGTTTTGGTGAAGAATGTGGTAAAGTACTTGGTGCATATATTAGTAAGAAATTTTTCGTAAATATTGTTTTCTAAGTCTAATATTTTGTGAATTTAATATTTATAGGTGGTAATGATTCATTAGAATCGATCAATTTAAGTTGGAATAATATTCGAGGACGTAGTGCTATTGATATTGCTAATGGAATTAAAGTATAAATCTTATTTTCGAATTATTTTATTATTAGAAACAGAAAATGTATTGTTTAAAATTCAGGAAAATGTTCGTTTGAAACGATGTAACCTTGAAATGAACGGTTTCGGACCAGATGGTGGACAAATTTTAGGAGATTGCATAAAACAAAATGGTGCATTAGAAGAATTTAACATTAGTGCAAACCGTCTTAATACATCAAATGCATTTGCTATAGCTGTAGGATTACTTTCAAATGATTCATTACAAATTCTTAGAGTAATTTCGTTTGCTAGATGTTCTTTTTATATTTGATAAAAATAAAGCAAATAATATTCATTATAGATTGCTGATAATCAAATAAATAGTGATGGTGCACTTGCCATTTTTCTTTGTATTAAAGCAAATGAAACAAGTCTATTACATGAAGTAGATTTTTCAGTAAGAATAATGTGTTTTTTTCTTTTTGAAAATAAAATCAAGTGTATTGTATTTTAAATAATTTATTTAGCGTACAGTAGTCACTCACGAAGCAGTAAATGTCTGTGAGGATATTGTTAAATTAAAAGACGGTAAATTTCGATATCGAACTGGAAAAGTAACACCAAGTATGTTATTTTAGATTGTTATTAATTAGAAAAATAAAATTTTCAATAATTTATTTTTAGATATTCTTCAATCTAATTCAGCAAGTGAATGTTACATTAAAACCGATGAAGGACTTCTTAATAAATTACGTTCAAATGCTGCTAATGCAAAATCACATATTACATGACTATTATTTCTTTTTAGTTGTAAAACAAACAACAATAAAAAAAAGTGTTCCTATACAATGATATACTTTATAAATTTTAGTAGAGTGATATAAAAAATAAAAGAAATATTTTTAGAAAAACAATCTCTTTTTCCTAATCATTCAATATGAAATACTGTTTGATTTGGTTATAAAAATATAAATTAAATTAAATTAAGTACATGGTTCTTTAATTTTCTGTGCGTTTCACTATACAATGTTCTCTATATTTCACTATTTTTTTTTTTTGTTGATTCATGCTCTATTTTATTGTAACACTTGGAAGTACTTACATGGAACTTAATCATAAATTGAAGAAAAGGAACGAAAGAAAAGAAGAAGAATTTTTAATATTCGTCATTTTTCTGAAATTATTGGTTTTTCATGTCTAATATTTGGGAGACGAACCGATAGGATGATTTGTTCATTTTTACTAATCGATAATTCATGAAATTTACTCAAAACATGTTTTAAAAGCTTTGGACTTTTATGAATGATTTTGTTTTCATAATCGTTGTACAAATAGTCATTGCAGTGATTAGTTGGAGATAAAAATTTAGGAATAAGAAGATACTCTTAGCTGTACTCATGATTTTATTAACGTTGAGTAAAATAGTCTCTATTCAAGTAAAAATACTTTTTTAAAAAACAAGTAAACTATTTTTAAAAACTGAATTATACTCTTGGTAATATTTCAATATACTTGTGTGTCCTACATTAAAACCAGTCTTTTCTAAATTATACTTGAATAGTTAGATAAAATGTTTGGCAGTCGTGTTGATCTACTCATAAATACAAACAGTAACCGTATAAGTTGAAATTCAAAATTTTTTAGTTCTATATGGTCCTACATACGAAATATGAAAATTTGAGCTTAACCATCCTTTTTTGCAATCTTTTAGGATTCATTTGATGAATGTCAATAATTTTATGAAAACCTAAACCCCAAAAAAAAAAATTTTCAGACAGCAAAAAATAAATAAATATACCACAAGTCGAACCTATGGATAGTGTTTCTTGTATATTTACCGAATAGATTAGAATCTTTCGGAATTCATTCAATAGGTAAGTACTCTAACTTGAGATTATAATTTTTACGGTTGCACCGTTAGGCAGAAAAGAAACTGGTCTATGGTATTTGTTGTTGAGTATGCTTATTATGTTTCATGTATATTTGCGATTGAGAAAATAACGTTCTATTATATTATTTTGTCTTGTTAACAAAATAATAATGTTAATGAATGATCAATAATGTTTGAACGGCATTAGATCCTCTGTTGTACATAATCCAATTGTCGCGGATATATCACAATTTTTATAATTGACACAGACGTCATTTCATTCTTCGTTTCGTTGGCCCAACTAGCATATTAGTCTGATATACGTATTGAAATAATTGTCCAGTAAGCTTCCGTACACACCATTTTTTCCCATGACAAACCTTGACATATACTGTTGAGTTTTGTTTAAACTTCGAATTCAACTGGCACTTACTATTCATTGAGTTGTATCATTGATTAAGATAAAAAGCCTCTGAATTGACATCAGTTCGACTCTATCTAAACCGCAGTTAGTAATCTGTAATCTTAATTGGATCGATTCCGCAGTCTTTGAATTAAGAAACCTTGATATTTAGTTTTGAGCCAAATTTTTCAAAGGCAGTTTTGATCTCAAATAGCAAATCAGAATGTTTAGAAGGATGATAAATCATTAAATCTATATTTATTTATAATTGTACTCCTGATAATACAATTGAAGCAGCAAACATCCACCATACGAATAATCAAACTGTATTCATGTATCGACTAAAAGGATGCAAAACATCGACAAGCTGTTTAACAGCTCTAAATATTACATAAAACTAGAAAACTCTACTGGGTAGATGAAAAGAGAGATAGGTATGAAAACAGATGCATATGTATCTATTTTCTTCAAAACTATCAACCTTACAATAAATCAATAGAAATTGGCATTCTCTAATGAAAATACAAACAATAGTAGAATTAGTAGGCTTGTCACGCAAGCGCACGACACAGAGCCCAGGAATTCTATACTGAAGTCAATTTTATTACTTATTTTCGAGAATTCATGAAGAGATTGCTGTTCAGTCGAATAAAGAGAGCTACATTCGATTGGAGTTCGGCTTTTAGTTGGTATACTCGAAAAAATTCCCGGTCGAATGAGTACGCTCGTAAACGACCATAAATCGTCGTATTTTGGCATATTAGTGATTTCGTATTATGATCGTATTTCTCCCTGTTATTGACTGAGAAATACGATCGCATATAGTGAAATACAAGGGGTATAACTATTTCGTCTACTTTGTCGTGGATTGTTTTTATCAAATAACAAAGTTAATCGTTGTGTCGATACTTCCTTTCTAAGTAAATTGTAATAGAATGGTTTTTTTTCTTTTTTTCCTATAGCATATATGACCATAAACAACTTTTATGCGTATCGTTAAAAAGGCATGATTGCTATTGACTGAAGAAACGAAAAAGATGAAACATAAAATAATGACTGAAAAAAATAAAACAAGAACAGCAAGGTGATTTTAAAAAAAAGCCAGACGTGACGTGTTAATGACGTCTCGTCATATATTTTCAAAAAACCAGAACTGACGACATATTACTGATTTGCTATTCAAGTTTGTTTTGTCGACTACAGCGAGAATTTTTGTTTAGAATAGACAAGAAATGTAAAAGTCGTCAGTTCTGGTTTTTTGAAAATATATGACGAGACGTCATTAACACGTCACGTCTGGCTTTTTTTTAAAATCACCTTGCTGTTC